AAGAGATTTAAAATACTAAACTTTCAAGCTGACAAACATTTGTCAGTAGCATTCCTGGACTTTATTTTCCATATAAACATTTGCATGTGCACCACTATAATTGCTGGGACTCTCTCATATCAGAAATGTCTGCACAATGCAGAAATCATACGTACGCGTCTGCCTGACTGAGACTCCTTGTGCTTACTCAGGGGAACAGAGTATTCCTGAAGCATCTGCTTATGGCCTTCACCTGGAACAAGACGTTTCCAAACGGATCTTTCCCGCTCTCTGCAAGGCATCACCAGGGGAGGAGGAGGAGGCAGCTGACCGTTCCTTCGTCCCGTTCTGTGCACTAACGAGTCACAGCAGCACACGGGAGAAGGACTGGAGCAAGGAGCAAGCCTTGCCTCTGCAGCTAAAGGAGTCCACGTCCCCCATCTCCCAGCTTTTTGGAACCACAGCTCCTTCAGAATAAATCTCATTTCGATTCAATTCCCCACTATCCTGATGCAGCAATTGACTACGCGGTATCGCAGTGTTTCCTAAAATGATAAATGTTTATGTTGGCTCAAGTAGAACTGAATGAAAATTGTACCTGTCCCTGCTTTTATTTATGGAAATACCAAACCAGAAGCGCTCCAATAACACGGCGCTTAGCCGTGCTACCTGCCAGGCCACCTGTCGGAGCGCTACCATTCTACAAGCGAGCCAGCTCGAGCGCGTCTCCGTGCTAGGCTTCTGCTCCTCAGGGCAGCAATCCCTCCCAGGAAAGGCTGAGGGAGCTGGGCTCGTTCAGCCTGGAGAAGAGAAGGCTGAGAGGGGATCTCATCAACACCTACAAATATCTCAAGGGTGGACGTCATGAGGACGGAGCCAGACTCTCCCCAGTGGCGCCCAGCAACAGGACAAGGGGCCATGGGCACAAACTGAAGCAGAAGAGGTTCCAGTTGAATATGTGGAAGAACTTCTTTACTCTGAGGGTGACAGAGCACTGGAACAGGCTGCCCAGGGGGGCTGTGGAGTCTCTTTTCTCTGGAGATGTTCAAAGCCTGCCTGGATGATGTCCTGTGCAACGTGGTGTAAGTGAACCGGCTTTAGCAGGGGGGTTGGACTAGATGATCGAGGTCCCTTCCAACCCCTGCCATTCTGTGATTCTGAGGGGGCACAGGAGCAGTCACAGCAGTCTGTGCCTTGCATTTCCCACCCACCCACATTTTATTTTCATGGAGCTATTAAAAACAAAGTGTAGAAAAACCATAAACTGTTCAATAGCAGACAACAGATCTTGTAATCAACCCAATTCAGGGGCAGGAAATCTGTTTGCTAAGGTCAGAACAACATCCCAAGGACATCTAAACCCTCGCTCCCTGCGAGCCATACATAAAACTCCAAATCTCCCAGAATGAGACCAAACCCCCTACCTACAGAACTCTTCGGGCCAGCGTGCACCCTGTGCACATGTACGTGGCACCACTGCTTCGAACAACGGCACACGCAAGCTCCAAAGGAGAATGAACACCTTCTTTTCCACCACAGCACCGCGGCGGCAGTTGGGCTGAGCTCGCTGCTGGGCGAAGCACAGGGCAACGCGGTGGCCCAGGGGCAGATTTAACAGAGAGGAACATTTCTGAAAGCCCTGCATCGACAAGACCGCAGCAGTCCATACTTCTGTAGCCTTGGCAGCCAAGGCGGCTGCACACGCCATTCAGATTTCATGGGAGGGGGAAAAATGCTTAAAAAAATTAATGTTTAATTAGAACCAGGAACAGGTTTGTGCTTTGCAAGTGTCCTTGTCACTGCTAACGTGAATAAGGTCATTGCTACAAAATGGGATTGCCACGGAAAAATTCCACGTTCCGCAAAGCTGAAGGGGCTGGTGGGATTGTCTGAGTTCGTGGACCTGAGACAAGAATAAGCTCTCCGTGGCCAGAGTCACCTTGCACTGTACGTGGCACCATCACTGGCAAGGTCTTAACCCAACCCTGGCATTCCTACTGCTACCACAAGCAACACCGAACGCTGCTGCCCGGACATTCGCGCAAGTCTGGAAACATCTACAGTTACCCTGGGAATTCATTAGAACTAAATTAATTCTGAACTTGCCAGAAATTTCTTTTGATTAGGTATAAGAACAATCCATACAATATTCAGAATGTATATCTCACAGTGGGCCCCCAAATGTTATTTTTTTCCATTACTAAGGCAATATTGCCCAGCTCAGAGGCAAACACTTCTGCAACCTAAAAGTGACTTCCTTGACGTTCTTCATTGCCAAACCAGCCCCATACAGTGAACTCAGTGGAGTTTTAAAGACAGCCTATTCATGCTGTTCTATCATCTTCTCTGTAAGCAAATAAACCTGTCAGCAGCGGTAGCGATGCACTGCAGCGCTGCCTTCTTCACAGCCTCCGTGCCGCTTGGCATCCACCCCTGTTCTGTGCTCAGCCGTGTCCTACAGACGCTGCTGCACTTGTGTTAAAACACAGACACCTATTTGTGTTTCCAAATACGTAACAGGACTATGCTGCTGGTGTTTTGGGGTTTGTTTGTTTTTTTTTCTTTAAAGTATTTGTTCTTCCTTTATTTCTTGGAAAAACATATTTGGCTTTCTAAAATAAAACTCAGATGCTGTCTTGGATCCTAAAGTTACATTGAAAATAAAAATAGATCGTGAATTACAGAATTAAAAAGAAAAATGTTTTGAAAAAGCCAATTTCCCATCACTCTGGATTGCAAAACACTGACCACTGAAGCCGGTAGATTTTATGCCCAACTAGGAAAAGATGCTGTTGTCCACACGTGAATTATTTAAGCAAAATATTTGCTCTACTTTTCGTTGCCCAGAAGAGCCTTTCCGGCATTAAAGACAGCAATAAATACTGCTACTCCATCGGAAGGCTATCCTGGCATGCATGTTCCGTGCCTTTGAAGAGAGACCCCATTTTCTAAATAACTCCTGCGTGTGTGTTTTTAAATGCTTAAGAGGCACTGTAGAGTATTGCTGGAGGATTTTCCAGAAACAGGCTTCAGTGCTTTCCAGCCAGCTAAGCTAAAACGCTTTAATCTCTAAAAGGACTGACGTGAAAGTGATCCTTTTAAAAAAGTATTTGGATAAATGAAAGCATTTGGTGAATCTCAATTTGAACTGAAAAAGATCCTGTTGACCACCGCACACCGGCATTACTTTGTGCAGTCAATCAATAAATATTAGCCTGCGTAGGACCGTGAGAGAAAGAAGCTGCATCGTTTTTTGAGGGTAAGGTTAAGTTTAAATTGTCTCAAACTTTTTTTTTTTATTTTATTCTACCAAGACAAAACTATTTATATTCAATTGCAGACCAAAATTTCATCTTTACTCTGGATACTTTCTTAAAGCTCAACTGCTTGTAGCAACAGAAACACTTTTTCTGTAAATAAAATAGCTTCTACCATCAGACTCTAGCAACCTCGCGGATAGCTTTCCCAAAGCCTCAGGACTCAAGGGTCTAGCACATAGCAAAAAACCACACATAATTTGGGACTTGCTCCATTCAAGCGTCCCACCTTCAATCCCTTTCCCATGAAAAGAGCACACGACACCGAAGGGGCAGAAAGCTGTCCCAGATACAACACACGCTTGTTTGCAATACTGCTATCGCTAAAGCTTCCGGAAAGAGAACCGGGTGGTCTCTACCAGCCACGGAGCCAGAGTATATGTTCCTGAGGGAAACGCTGATCTGATGGATATGCTGGGGAAGCCTGTGTTTCAGGGTACGCCGAACCCATCCATTAATTTATCTTTATGTTTTCCGAGGGTCCATCCAGTCACTGTTGTTTCTTGACAACATCGTCCCCTAGCTGCTAAAGGTGCTCCCAGCACCCTACCTCCCTCTTGGCGATTTCCAGTTCGCCTTTTACCCCCACCCTGCCTGAGTTAGTGCTCCCTACTCCAGCCAGGCTGTCCTTCCTCCAGCAGCAATCCTGTCTCAGGCACCTTCAGCCAGAGACTTGACCCAAAACTAGATCTGTCGTACGAACTGTCTTCAGGTCAATAGAAATAACTAGTTCTCTTTTAGGCTTTCACAAAAATCTACACAAAGCTCAGTCAAAAAAAAGATCACTTTCACCACTCTGTAATCTGCGGGACACTGTGCTAAAATACATACTGTAGTCATTCAAATTCCAAGGGTATTGCTGTCGAATATACAGATATTTTCCCTATGACACTGCATAAATAAGCATGAAAAAAAACAGTCAAGACCTAACTGCTTATAATTAAATGCGTATTTTTGTATGGTCTCTCATTCCAGAATATGCCTTGAAGGGCCAGAACTCGTCTTTTACCCGTCAGCCCAGAATAAACTAGAGCAACAGTCAAAAGCTATAGGAGTACTGTAGGAATGAAATACATTTGGATTCTATGTGCGACAGACAAGAGGCGCTTACTTGTTGAAAACAACTCAATTCAATGAAGCAGACTGATGGTAGCACCCTTCCGTCAGCTCTCACCAAGGTAAATAATGTATGGGATAACTATAAAGGACTGTATAAAGCCTTTATTCTTCAAGAGCTACAAGCATGTTGGGTTGCAGGTGGACTTGAGCTCAAAACACATATATTATAGAATGTTTGGTGTCGGAAGGGACCCCCAGAGGTCCCCCAGCCCAACCCCCCTGCAGGAGCAGGGACACCTTGAACCACATCAGGTTGCTCACAGCCCCGGCCAACCTGGCCTGGAATGTTCCCAGGGATGGGGCCTCCACCCCCTCTCGGGGCAACCCCTGCCAGGGTTTCTATTAAAATATCGATAATGATTCAGAACTAACACAATAATATTACAGCAGTTATGGTTAAGCAGGTGTTTAGTTTGTCTACAACTCTCTTCTACTTTTGAATAACTTCATTTCCAATACACACACTCCCTTCTAAGCAGCCTTATTTTCTCATTAAAAATATACGATTTGCCAGAAAGTGTTCCAACTCCTCTGCACAGTACCTAGCATGTCAAAAATTAACCCGCTCACTCTATTCCTGCTCACCTGCTGCGATGTCGTCATCAACCAGATCATGCTCCTCTTCCTGAATTTTTGCTTCCGTTCCCAAGGAATCTGGGCTCGCACTGCCAGTCTGAATGGCTTCCGTGGTTACTCCAGCTGAAAGAAACAGAACACCCACAGAAGTCAGCGATTTTGGGAGATAACATCCTTAGATCAGGAGGAAAAGAAAAAAAGTAATTATCCTTTGACATTCTGAACCACGCAATGTAACTGTGAAACACAGATAAAGCAAAGAGCAACTATTTTCTGGTTTCCCTTCATTCTGTACGCACTTTTCACAAACCTATCCTTTAAAAATCTTTTCCACACTGTAAATATTTCTGTTGTATTTTCTTTTTCTGCTGTCTTCTACCATCATTACAAATATTAGATACACATATCGCATGCTAGCAACTCGTTTAGCCACGAAATTCAGAGTTCCAGCAGAACTCCTCTTGCGTCCCCTCTCAGCACTTCACCTCTCTCGCCAAAAGAGCGCAGTTTCTCCAGGCCACTTTCAGAATATATCCATTCAGCTGACCCATTCCACGTCCTTTGGGTTAGGATGCCTCTGTTAGTCGCTGTTAGAAATTGCATAATGAACCCAAATCACACTACGTAACACCAAGCGACTGAAGTCACCACTGACCAGTTCATACGCTGCCCGGTTATAACCTCCAATTATTCCCTGTGTGAGCCCTCCCACAACTCAACCACGGCATTGGCAAAAGAAGTGTTTTGCTAAGCCTCACAAAGAGCCTTCCCCCCAAGAGCTTTAGGAAAGCTAAAAAGCAGGCCGAAGGGATGCCCTGATAAGATTTCTTTCCTCCCGATACATCCTCTATGTCAGCTTATACTATCAAAAATCTTATTATATGAAGAGATTGCTGCTTTACTGATTGCAGCATTAGGTTTGCAATCCACAGGGGCATTAAGTTCCCCATTAAAAAAAAAGGACCCTGGCCCTTTGTCAGCACCAACCAAATTTCAGCGAGAAATTAAGTCTCTGTTAACGACCCTGCCCTGCGGCAGGCAGACAGCTCTCGCTGACCAGCACGAGCGCCAGCGATGGCTCGGCGCCAGGCAGCGGAGAAGTGCCCGCTGTACCTGCCGCTCCTCCGTCGCTTCTGGGTGATCTGCCGTGCCTTCCTTCAGTTCTCAGCAGTTTTCACGTAATAACTTCCCAGTCTTCTCCAAACACGTGAATGTGATTGACAAATGAAATGATGGAACCGTAATAAATCACAAGGGAGGAACCTCTGCCGGCTGTACAACCAGGTTTGGGAATCCCCAGCTTGAAAGCCATTTAACTCTGGGTCATCTTTAAACCAGTTCAGAAACATTAACTTTCTCACGAGCGTGCCAGGTTTTACTTCTTTTAGTACTGTTTTTAAGCACTAAGCATTCACAGCCATAAGTAATTACTTACACCTTGCGCTGACAGAGTGATGGCCTGGCAGTGATTTCTAACCTTATTCTGATGTAGCCTCTATCAAAACCAACTCGTACCTTCTAATAACTTTCTGGCCGGCCTCCTCGTCACGCCAACAGATATTACAACCTAGTGATAACAAATACAGCACCAGACTGGAACACGCTGCTGGCTCCATAGCACGTCACCTCATTAAGCATGCTGGCATGACCGCTCGGAGATCCCCTGCACTCCCAAATCCCACAGGAACCTCGTTCAGGGCACCGAAAGCGAGGAGCTCGCCGTTAGGGTGCTGCTGTTGCAGCCTGCGGGCATCGCTCTGGGGGGGTCTTCACCAGCTCCCCCCCACCCCGATTCCAGCACTGCTTCACCCAAATATTTTTTGGTCATCACCTTCAAGCACCAACTATTTTCTAACGCCGCTGTTCACCTGTGCACGGCCACAGGAGTCGGCCAGCGCGTCGAGAGGTTATTTTTTTAAGCACTGCATTGCAGTTCATTCAAAAGCTGCTAATCTCTGCAGGCAGAGCAAGCACCCAGCTGTTCCCTTAATATCACTCTCATAGTCTAAAATTCTTTGATTTCTTTCCCTGCCTGAGGAAGGGTGAAGAGCTTGCGTGCCTTCTGAAGACTGCAGTATGAAGGCTCTGACCGATGAGCTTTCATCTTGGAGGGAGCATTTGCTGTGTTGAACACCTAAGTCGGTAGAAGCCAAGGGTCAAGCAGTCCCTAAACGGGAGGTTTAGGCTGGGCCAAAATTCAAAGCCTTTGGTTTATTTAGTTATTCCCTCATCTCTTTCCCCACTTTCTATCCCCGAGATGCTGAAAAGAGGCTGATTTTCGTTATTTACATGTGCTACACCTTCCTAAAAAGCTTAGCAAGATGAGTTATAACACAACAGAGGAAGTAAGTGCCTTTGCAGGAGTCGATTCTAAGGACAGTGTATAAAAAAAAAAATCAGGAAAAAGTTTATTACAATTTTATACAATTAAAATAAAAATATAAGTAAAAATCTATTTAATGAGAATGATGAAAACATTCCCCCCAAACCACTGAAAGGATAAAGCCAAACGGGGAGAAAACCAGCCATCACGCAAACACATCAGGCAATAAACGGTCGTTTCCTCTCCACGAAGAGCCAGTAAGGAGGAACACTTATTCCTGGACACTGGTGTTTTCTATGTGATTCACAAAAAATGTCTTCAAAGCATATTTTAGAAGTGAAAAGATCATAAACCCCCTGAATGTATTAGAAATAAGCCAGTCGGCATACTAGAAAATACTGGGAAATTAAGGATATACTTGTCCTAGAGAGTTCCTCCATTAGTACAATTCACTAATTACTCCAGCAGCCTGAACTCATTATTCACTTAATACATTTTAATGTTCCAGCACAAAATTATTTGCCTTACTTCTTCGTGCTCTTTTCCATCAAACCTTGCCCGAGTAAGATGATCAACCACATATATAAACAGCAAAGTCTTTGGGGTCCAATCAAACTATCCTTACTCAATGAGAACTCCCATTTAAATCGATGCAAGTTTAATTAAGTTTTACTCAATTAATCTGGCTTTAAATAAAACTTTAACAGAAATACAAGCCTACCAGAGATACACTCATAAAACCCGACAACGGCATATTCGTTATTATAGACTTCTCGTATTTATTTTGCTTTCTAGTGGCAACGTGGATTATTATTTGAAGCAGGTTAGGGAGACACGTGATTTAAGGGCTCCTATTTAAATGCCTTTGGTGCTGTGTTGCTGCGTGGAAGATTTTCACTTAGAAGCAGTAATTTGATACAAACCTTCACCTGACTGAACGGGGCTTTAGCAACATGGGAAGCAAGAGAGGTGTCTATGCTTAATTTCTGGGCAGAACGTATGGAACGCTGCTTTCTGCAGAGCCTGAGCAGCGCTGCCCGCGCGCCGGCAGCCGGGGCCAGCCTGCCTGCCTCGCATTAATTCACTTCACACCGCTCCCATCGATCCGGGCAGCTCGCACGCACACAAAGGCCGGGGCAAGATAACCTTCTGCTTTCCGTTAAAGCCCTAGTAGCCATTTTTCTATCTGCAGTAACATCCCATATTTAAAAGCAGATCTGTCCCCCCGGGGCTTGGCGGACAGACCCACCACCAAGAGCTCGCCGGCGTCCCGCGGCACAGAGCGATGCCCGAAAGCATGCCGTCAGTGTTTTAAGAAAACATTACGCTGGCTGCAGTCAAATAAATAAAAGAAGCAAAATAGAAACCTAATATTCTGCAAAGGAATCCCTTTAAAGGGAGAATTTAATTCATGGAATCCGTCTGACACCGAAGACAGCCTTTGCTCTTAAAAATAAGCAGGCAGGAAAAGGCAGAGGCATTTTTCCCTTTTCGAACTTCCCCTGGACACACGACTTTGTGGCAAACGCCCCGCGGACTTTGTAGCATTTGAGAAACAACCGTATGCTGTGACAATGAGGAGCAGACAAGGCCACGGCAAATATTTACAGTCGCAAGACATAATCTTAGTAGATACAAGATGAAGCTTTGAAAGCTTAACTGCTTTCCTCCCTGTGGGAGCCTGAAAAATACCAACACCTGCAAGCGCTCTCGTGGCTTTAATTCATAGCATCACTTATACATCCATTCCCGCTTGATGCGGGGTCAACAAGCCGACATGCCAATTTGGGATCTGAAGGCCCAAATAAAACAGAGATTTATCGTTCCCCTACGAGGCGCTGCGAAACAAAGCCCAACGTGTCCGACCATCTGCACGGCAGGCGTGTGCGGCGGCCAGGGCGCAGCTCGAGGGGCGACAGCGGGCCTGGCCCCGCAGAAGGGGAAGGGAGAGCTGCTAATCTCTCCTGCATCAGTTCAGAGATTATTAAAAGATAACCCCGCGCAAGCCTGCCCGTCTTTCAAGTCTCCTGAAAGTATTTTATCAAAACGCTGGGAGACGTGCCAGTCGCTCGATCTGTACGAGTAAGGTCATGTCCCAAAATTGCCGCTGGGCCCGAGCACCGAATACACAGACGGGGAAAGATGTCACCTCTGTTTGCTAGGACCACACGCTCGATTCATCCAAGAGCCAACTAAACGCCTAGGACAAAGGATCTTGGATCAGCAGCCAGCTGCTCCTGGTGATTGCCACTTGTTTGAATTAAAACAAACCTGTCAATGCGCAAGAGAAGCGCTGTTGCTACAGCACGCAGGTAAGAACTATCGCAGAGTTATAACATATACTGGACACAAAAATATGCCAATAATCATTTATGCCCCTGTATAATTTATGCCCTTGCCTGTATCAAGGGGCAAAACTGGGAGAGGTGGAGGATGAGGAATCAAAGCCGTGTTTCTTGATCTTTCATATTTTTTCTCCTCACCTTTCTAGCATAAAACTATATTTTTCAGAAGTCCGTTGCATCCATTTTGGCCATCCTAAATAATGCTTATCCCCTTTGACTCCTCCCCAGACCTTTAAAAAAATGTCTTTTTTCCATCACGTCTTACAACGTAACTAACACATACTCTTTCCTCACGCCAGCAGCAGCATGTGAAGCGCCTCGTTTTGTTTCTCCCAATACCGTAATTATTCTTCTTCAGAGTGTCAGCACCTTTGTGTACGTTCATACAGACGGTAACACTATTAAATGCCCCCTCAGCCCCATCATTCAGGAGAACCACAAACTCTGTCACCTTAATTCACATAGTATTCAAAACTGTTAATATAAGAAAATGAATACCCATTTGCTAGTCATGACCTGTTTGTAATGATTTCAATATCAGCGCTTTCACAATATTGAACTTTTACATTCACGTCATTCAGCCACGCTCGGCTGATTTCTCTATTTTACATCTTCTCCCTCCATCTCAAAACTTTCTTGTTCTGATAGATAAGCACGTCCTAATTCAGCATTAAAACAAATGCCGTGCTTTGATTTGCTAATGACTAACACAGAGGCCAAAACTCTGCTGTATGCATTCTTGAACTCAACGCACACAAAATGCTCAAGTTTTTTCTTGAAGCAGTCGGTCCCTGAGTGCTGCTAGTGAAACCTGGCAGGGGTTGCCCAGAGAGGGGGTGGAGGCCCCATCCCTGGGAACATTCCAGGCCAGGTTGGACGGGGCTGTGAGCAACCTGATGTGGTTCAAGGTGTCCCTGCTCCTGCAGGGGGGTTGGGCTGGGTGACCTCTGGGGGTCCCTTCCCACCCAAAACATTCTATGGTTCTATGATAAAAACGCATGCCATGCCTCTAACCTGGGCACAGACCTACGAGGCAGAACAACATATTATGCTTGCAACTGATGCACAAGTAAAACAGAACCGCGTACCCTCCTCTAAAACGTTGAAATGTAATTGTTTAAGTCATGAGGAGTACCAGAAATAGCAAATTATTGAAACTCATAGGAATTACAGGTTGTTTTCAAGTACATCAGAAGGAAGTTCCTTTTTTGGAAGCCACGTGGCTAAAGCAGGCACTACGGAGTGGTTTATGTACACTTCACCAACACAATTATGCCCATAACAAGGTCATCCAGTATCACCCCAGGGAAAAGAAATCGGTAATCATCAACAGTTGCTATCGCAGCTACTCCTGGGAGTAGAGGGCAACTGAGGGTGTATTCTACAAACTGAGTATTGCCGACCTCGGAAGATCAATGAAAAGATACATCCTGATACACCAAATGGCACAGATATCTATCAATATGAATCAAGGCCCTTCGGCATGTACACACAACCTACTTCCACTTACTGCTCACTGCTTGGCTGCACATCTAACGGTGCAACACCATCCCCGTAACAAGGCAAATGCTACACGGCTGAAGGCTGTAATTAACAGCAGCTTAGTCCTACCAACAAATTCTCAACATCGCTTTAATGTACTGTGTTCCGTGTAATTTATGCATTCAATTTAGATTTAATAAGATTATTACACATCTCTTGGAAATCAATTGGTATTTAACGGAGATCTTTCTCTGAATAGAAACTACATCCTTCAGTGGAAAAAGAATCTCATTTTAAGAAAGATGAGCACCTGCAACTTAAAAGCAAACATTCTCTTTTATGAAAATATGAATTTTTACTGGTTTGTTACATAAGGCAGGTGCCTTTGGACATGATTCTACACAGGCAAGTCTCTAGATGGATAATTGAATGGAGTATCTCATGACGCTGACGGGTCTTCCAAGAGTACACGCTTAGACTCTCTACACCCTCTGCTTTAATAACAATGAATAAAATGAAAATCGCTACTTTGGAGAAAAAGACAACTGATTAAATAGTGCTCAGTAGTTATTTAACTTATTTGGAGAATAAACTTTGCCAACTGTCTCCTTGCAGCACTTGGTAATTAATGGCTTTGAACTTTTTTATATAAACCTGAATTTTTCCCCTAGGTGGTAGGACTGTTTGTAATATTATGTACAAAATGCCTTTTTTTGCTTTGATCTAGCCACCCGGTTCTTTTCAGGTTCAACACAGCAGTACTTACGGGATATAACACTGTCGATGTACTGCGGTAAATAAGGAGCCCACGCATCAATGGTTTCTTTCCGACCTGCCTGCTCGATTCTTCTGAGTTCTGCCAGCAACAAGGCCTGGGCAGCTTCTCTTACCTGTAAAGCCAACAGGAACGTCAAATATTCATCAGTATGCTTTCAGTATCGTTTAGCAAGAACAAAAGAAAAAACTTCTCCAGCAAACTAAACTAAGCTTTTAGAAGAGCTTCATGTTTTCTCACCCCTCCCCACCTCAGCAGAAGCAAGATAAGCAGGAACAGGACATGCCCCAGCTGTGGCGACGCGCAGCTGGGCACACCAAAGATGTGCAGCCCCTGGGGAAAAGCAGGGATGAACGTCACAACTCCGTCCCCAGCGGGAGCGCAGCGCATGAACCCAACAGCTGCCCCACCGCCTCCCGGCCAGCCTCCCCGGACGCGCCCTTCTCGGCACAGACAGCAAGACCCATCCCGCGGAGTGGACGGCAAGACCGGTTTCTCATTCGGGGAAATAAGGCTGAGCCTCCTGTTTGCGCTGACGCGCTCAAGGCCACCAAGCCTCTAGTTCTCTAGAAGCAACTTGTGATCACCCTTCCCTACAGCATTGCCAAAGTTGGGTCCAAAATTCCAAATGTGCAATGAGTGAAGTTTCCCAAGTGTCATCAGTGTTACAATATAAAAGCAAAACAAAAAATTTCTTAAAAGTATTTTTTTCACATGAGATCCATTCATTTACTATGTATTACAGAAGACCAAACAGTGAAAGCAGAGAAAAATAGACTTAAAAAGGTTTCCCACCATTAAAAAAAAAATCTGGCTTTTTACCCCAACAAATACAAAATAGCATCTTGCACTATTTGTTCCCCATTGGTATCCCCTGTTCCATCTGAAGAGTTCATGAACAGTCGTAAGTACACACATTATTTTTGGTCTAAAAGCTTTAGTGCACAAGGAAGTTAAGTGATTTGATCAAGGTGGAATAAAAACACAGTGGACAAATGGAATATAAATACGCTGCCCTGACGCCCAAGGATATCCAGTAACCGGGCGTCTGTTGCTTACAAGTTTTAATGAGTTCCAAAGTAATTCCCCCCTCAGGAAACCATCTCGCAGCACGTCCTATCGAGCAAAAGAACAGGCATTGGGGTAGCCAAAACCGTATTCCCAATTAAGGTACGGGACTGCCGAGGTCCCACAGCCTCCAGCCCAGCTCCGTGACTCCCTTCCCACTTGGAAAGCTGCACACTCAACAGAATTTTTGCCACACCAGCACAGGTGTAGTGTCAGGGCCCACTCGCCATTTATCACACAGCTGGGTGACAAACCATTTACTGGCTGCTGTGTACACGCTCCAAAAAATAAAGCAACTCAGCAGTCTCTTGAAAAATATAAGGTAGGGTTTTTTAATCCTAGTAAGATTTTTAATGGAATCCTGGAAGCTTTTAAGCCAATAATTTATTTAAAAAAAATAGATACAGCATCCAGAAGGTAAAAAAAAAAAAAAAAAAAAAAGTATCTGTATTTAGACAGGATAACTTTTTCAACATTTTGACACGTTAACTAGAAAATTAACTTCCTAAATCTGAAATAAAAACTGCAGGAACATGTGTCAGAGAAGAAATTTTTTTTTTTGTTATACTAAGGGAAAATGTGGTGAGTAACAGACAACTTAAACCCCCCAAAACCTAGCAGCACAAAATTCCTACTGAAATCACCTCCAAGCATCGATCCTGCCACCGGCGAGCCAGCATCTCCAGAAGAGGAGGTCTGAATTTATCCAGCCCCAGCAGGTCAGGGAGCATTACGCAGTGCATAGCGGCCAGCTGGCTCCACCCTGTTAAGACACATCACAACAGGAAGGCAATCATCATAAGCACCAAAGCAATTTTAAGTTCAAAATGCCATCAAGTACATTTACATTGGCCGCTGGCCTGGTACGCAGCAGGTCTTCAGGAGAGGGTGGGAGAAAGAGGGAGAGGAAAAAAATCCCAGAACCAATTTTGCAGCAGAACAAGAGAGTTGCTGCTTCTGCCGTGGGGGCCGGGGCTCCCCCATCTCACTGCTGCCCACCGAGCCCCGGGCAGGCTGCACCGTGCATGTGCTTTCTGCGTCCGACAGGAGAGGCACCAGGCATGCCTCAAGAGCTCAAACACGTGCACGGGTCAGCTGGGACACCAGCAGGAGACAGCCTCAGATCAGTCCCGGTTCAACACGGCGTCCCTCTTCCCCCCCAGCCCCTCTCCGAAAGCCTGCAGTACCTAGGTCGCATGCTCGGGTTTTAAACTTGCAGCCTTAAGAATAGACTCAGCATACATCCTAAACACAAAAAAAATATCCCTAAAAGGATTGTGGCCAATTTTTTTTTTTTCAAAAGCACAAGCCATGGCTCCGAGTTCAAGATTTAGATGCCCTGTTCAAACCATAATTAGCATTACTTATGGTATTTAATGTCCTACAGGCAAGTGTGATAGAATTCGATGCCTGAAAGCGCAGCATGTGGATCATCACTAGAAAGGTGCCGCAGACTTTGGCGCCCTGTTTTAAGGGCGTGCAGGTATGTACAGGTGCACACTTGTCTGCTCCCCTTCCCTTCCCTTCCCATCTCAACCCCGCTCCGACGTGTTTGCTCCGGGTGCATCCACACTGCGAGCCTGCGACGCTGCGTGGCTCAAACAGCGACGATAAGCACGGCAAGCTCAAACAACATCGCCCACAGAAAGGCTTGTGAAGTACTCCAGGCAAAAGAATTCTTTCAGTGTTATGCTCTATGCTGACTTGAGAAACCGGAGCAATATAGATCTGTATTTTTAAATTGTCAGCAGTTCCGAGCATAAAAATCTAAATATCTTAACTAAAGTTCTTCATGGTGCTACAAGAAAAGAAAGCATTATGTCAATTTTCCTTAACGAAAAATGGATTTAAAAGAGGAATTTGCAATTTGACAGCACTGTTTCTAGTACTTGAGATGCATGAAAGCATGAATTTAGAGCTTAGTAATAAGGGCAGAAAAATTCTGATTTAAAGCAACTTCCCTACAGGATACAAAGGGGGTTTGGTTGGGTTTTGTGCAAAATCTTTTTGGTAGAAAGACATTCTGAAGAATGTGGATAAATATTTATTAGGAAAAAAATCATCCCCAGCACAAACCCCAAGTGGTTTAAATGAAAGCCACGTTTTCATAATCACCAAAAATAAAATTTAAGTGACATAAAATAATTTTGTTTCTTCCCTTTCAAAAGGACGATTACGTTTTGAGTCTTTCCATTTGCAAGGTGGGTGCAGAGCGTCGGTGCCCGACCCCTGCTCAGCAAGGGCTGAGCTCGACTGTCAAAAGCCAACAGCAAGCCTGGACAAGATCCAAAATATCACCTCTGATACGCTCGTTGAGAACTGAGTTTAGACAGTCCGAGGCACAAACCAGACCTGCTCGCCCTCGACCAGCGTTCATGGCAAAGCATACAAACATAAACTCATCGCCTCTCTCTTTTGCAAAGCAAAATTCCTACATGGATCAAATTAAGGTCGTGTCATAACAATAATAAGGGACATTAGTTGAGAGCAACAGACAAATAGATAGAAAAGTGAGGAAAGAATACCTTCATTGACTAAGAAACAGGTATGTAAAGGAGGAGCAGTGTCAGAGCCAGAGTGACCAGCTTCAGCGCTAGAAGAAACAGCGGGAGCGACTTGCAGAGGAAAGAAGAAGAAATAAAGAGAAAGAAAAAAAAAAGGAAAGTGAGGATAGCAGCTTCTGAAAAACAGACTACTGTCACTGAAGAATGAAAACCAAAAGAACTGGAGGAAACTGTGATCATATTAAACTTAAAAAAGTTCTAGGTTTTACAAGAAGTGCAATGCCAGTGAGCAGACGACATGCAACTGCAGAGGAACACGGATACACCAACAGACCCTGGCGTGGTGGGAAAGACAGCGGTACCTGTAAATAAAGCGGGTACCAACCTGTCTTTAAATGGCCACATTTGGCTTGACAGCACGGTTAACAATTTTAAACCCAGGGATTTCACGGCTTCTTGTGTTTTTCCCATCTTTAGATAGATTTGGGATTTCCCCCGCTCACTAAAAACCCTAGAAATAACCCCCTTTTCGACCTGGGCCACCCCATCTGTCACCCCTAAATGTCACAGAATGTATTGCCGATGGGTAGTTTTAATATAGGTTCATTTTAAACGTGTCACCCTTCAAATAACTTTAAGCCTGTGCCAAGGAGAGGGCTAAGAATCTAAAGCAGAAGGATAGGAAGCGTACGGTGTACGACTACAGGCGAGCAACGACGGAAGAGCACAGCTCGAGCGTGGCACTCAGAGCAGCACCCGTGACGTTTATTTTGTTAACTGCAGCGTTTCTTGGTGCAAATGTAATTTAAAAGCAGTTCTAAACATTATGCTTCCACTAATGCTTCATGACTTAATATTATCACATGAAAAGATGTGCAGACCTTATGGCACACACATGCCACAACCCGAGGTCAACCTGGAGATTTAGGGGTCACTATCTGACACTTCCTTCCTATAGAGAAATTACCATATGTCATGCACAAGCATCTTCAAATTAATCCCCCTCTCTTACTCCGTTGCAGAACAACAATGGGCTCAAGCTCCTGAACCGATTAAGCATTGTCTTCTCAAGGGTCCGTTTGCTTTTCACGCAGCGAACGTCTTTTGTCACTGTGGGACATCTGCATCAAAACTACTTTTTCCATCCTTGCCACACGAATGCATCACGATGGCACGCGTACAGCGACAGGACGACTAGCGCAAATCACCCCATAACAGCACAACCTAGAGTCAGTAGTATAAAAAGCTATTTATTTTATGAACGAGACTTTGTAAAAAACACCAGCCCGCTCCAGACGGAAACTGCAGCCTTACTCTGAAGTTGCCGTCTCGCTTCGCTTTGCCATCGCTGCCAGCTCTCTCCCAGCGCCAGCAATCCCAAGGAGCGCCGTAAGGGAAGCAGCTGGCCCAGCAGCCGAGCGGCACGGAGCTGTGCGCACCTCAGGACAAATACAGGTCAAACCGAGGGACACCAAGTGTGTCCGAACGGGCGCCCATTGTATCTTCCATTTATTTTTCAGAACAATAGTGCTAGAAGTTGATGAGTAGCCAGCTACTGCGAGCAGCGCGCAACGGGAGGCGAAGGCAAGGCACCGAGGAAGCTCGTGGCCTAGGAGTACTGCTTAGAAGCAAACCCATCTTCCCCGAGAGCACGCAAGATGTGCTGCCAGCACAGGGAAAAAATGCCAATTTAGGAACAGGCATATTTGTACATTTTTGACACCACACAGAATTCCATTTATTCCATTTATCAGTGATTTCTCACGAAGTTGTAAATGGTTTCACCGGGTAACTAAAGTATGTCTATCCCCCAAACTAGCAAAGCTATTTCAAAGTAAAATTACACAGTTGTCATTCGAGAAAGAAAAACCATAATGGAACTGTACCTTTAAAAACAGAACACAGACACAGACCCTCTCTGTGACCAATGTTTTTCCTCGCACTGCATTTGCCATGCAGACACCATCTCTGGTCAATCCTGACCTTTCAAATAACTATCTTTCAAAGAGGAAAAGTAAACGGCTGTAAAAAAGCCAGGACAAAAAAAAACAAAGCCAAAAAAGCCCCACGCGTTGAGACAAGAGCCCTGATTTTTTTATTTCTGCCTGTTACTGATTGCAACTTCTCTATGTATGCAGCACCCTTGATCATGAAAAGCAGCTCCATGCATACCAGTCCTGAAACTGATTTTCCTTTCCAAAGATCACAGTAAATTAATATTTATTTTTAGGAAAAGAATAAATGCACACAAGCGTTGCTGATGGACAAGCTTCCTCCTCAGACATACACATCCTCCTTTTTTGCACGCAAGTGAACAAAAATCGCACAGTTGATGTCTAAGCTGCCTGCTCTGCTTACTAACTCTAATATGAGAGCAGTTCCACAGTTTAAAGATACACCTAAAGATGTACATGTGACTGTAATGTACACCTCTAAAATCGTACATTGTGGTAAATGCCACAATGACCAAGCATTTATGTTCTGCAAAATGCAATCATTTTACAAATTGCAAGTTTCTGCCTATTCATACAGCTTGAAAAGACAAAGTTTTAACGGTTAAAAATAAAAGATAATTGCAATTTTCAAAGGAAATTTCAAGTAATTCCTGAAGGATACCTGCTTGATAAATTAGTTAAAAAAAATAAACCCTAAATCCATTATGGATAAAAAGAGAAACCTTTGTCTCTGCCCTCCAGTAGATGCGGGCAGCCGGGCTGCCAGCCACGGAAATCCCAGAGAACCGTACGCGCAGCAGCGCTGGGTTTACCTCCCCTCCGCGCGCTGCCAGGCAGCGGAGCACGTGTGGCCGAGGTGACAAACATACATTTCCCTCAAGCCACAGACAACCCTCACCAGGTCCCACGGGGATTTGATTCCCCCGTTATCCCCACAGCTCCTCTTTCGGAGCAGCTCATCTGTCCTGCCAAGCAGCAGCTCCAGTTTAAAGAGCGAGCAGGAAGGCACCTCCTCCTCCTCATAGGACCACAGAATCCCAGGTTGCAAGGGGCCTCAAGGATCATCTTGTCCAGCCTTTCTAGGCAAGAGCCCAGTCTAGACAAGATGGCCCAGCATCGTCCATCTCTCCGTCCTCATCCGGACTCTTCCCGTGTGCTTCTGCTGCCCAGAGGAAGCTCTAGTCCCCGCTCCACTCTACTCCAGCAGAAAATTCACATCTAATCTCGTGTGGATCCTTCTTGTACATCACATGCCGTTCTACTTCCATAGCCGCTACGCTTACTGAAGGACAGACACACTGCAGACTACTACAGGATCCTCCAGTAGCATCCACTGCCATCTTTCAGAACTGCAAGCGGTGAAAATAGCAGCAGCGGCAGAAGCAGTGTTAAAATAAAACAAACTCTGGCAGGGGTTGCCCAGAGAGGGGGTGGAGGCCCCATCCCTGGGAACATTCCAGGCCAGGTTGGCCAGGGCTGTGAGCAACCTGATGTGGTTCAAGGTGTCCCTGCTCCTGCAGGGGGGTTGGGCTGGGTGACCTCTGGGGGTCCCTTCCCACCCAAACCATTCTGTGATTCTGTGATTCTTCCTTCCTCGTAAAAAGGAAACATACACATGCTACTTAGATGCGTTTACCTTTATACTTTATAACCTACATAAACATTTTTGTATTAGTCTGTCTGGCCCTTAGTTACAGACATTAAACCTCTTGCTATCACCTCAACACCAGAATGTTTGGGACCACTTAAAACATGCAGAAATTCATTGTCAGGGACTGACTTCAGGACAGTATCAGCATTTATATTGATTCTTAAACAGGTCTTAGTCATTACAAATTTTTATCTAAAATATTACACTACTTCTTCCTCCCACGTAGAAGCTAGCAGTATTTTTCATCACTTGATGGTAAGGTGATAACTTCAGTGTCATGAGCTGAAATGACGTATGAAATTGTTCCAAAGTGAGTGATTTTTACCTTGCTTAATTTGTCCTTGGGCTGCATGACTTGAAGTTGAAGGGGCTGTCTTCACTTTTGACATCTCAGGAGTGCCTGGCCTAGGCGGCCTAAACACAAAATGTACGTGAAGGGGGAGAAAGAGGAGGATAGGGGGAGAGAGAGGAAGGAGTTTAAAAAAAAAATAAATTATTTGCTAAAGATGCTAAAGCTACTGTGACAAGCAAACATTGAAAAGCAACCTGATAAAAACCAGTTGGTTTGACAGGAGGGAAAAAAAATAAAAAAGGTATCTCATTTACAATTCCCAGGTAAGCTTATTTTTTGGTGATAAAAAGTTCCGCTGTATGCTTTGATTTATTTAGCATTTGAACCTAGTCATTATAAAAACTGTTTAAAAACAATAAGTACTAAAAAGAAGGCAAAAACTGCCTCTCAGACCTACTGGCACACACATTCATACAACTCCATGTTCTATTAACGCTGTAAGTTACGCAACTCCATTTAGAACAGTGGCATAAAAAAATACTACGTTCAAGAAAGAAGAAATATATTTAGTTCCATCTAGGTACCAAATTTTTTTTATAGCCACTAAATGCAGCAAACAGTAAAATTAAATAGAATAAAATGCTGTATTGAAATAGAGACTCTGAAAGAAAGTTATCACAAGTTCGAGCAAGTATCTGCCGTACCTGGTCGGACCCTTCTTCATGTGGTCTCCGATAAAAGTTGCATTGGTCATGCTCATCAGCGTGTTGGCCAGCGAGATAACAGAGAGGAGGTGCTGAGTGGTGACGGCACGTGATACGCCGTACGTCCCCTTCCCCAGTCCTTCTGTAATGGACATTTTCCTTCCTAACTCCAGACCATCGTATGACGGTTTGCCTACAGGCTGATTATAGCCAGGGAGCATCAGGGACATGTGGCCGCCTCTAGACAGGAGGCCAAAGGACACCGAACAGTGCGGCTTAAGCATCCCAAGACGATCAAGGCAAAGCTCATCTAGAACAGAATTCAGGCCCCAGGCATGAAGACAGGACATAAAAAGCTTTGCTGTATCCATGGTTAGGTTATATTCTAATAAAGTTAATGGCTTAGATTTGCTAGAGCGATATTCTGGGTCACTGTCTTCTCTTCTCTGTCTTATCGATTCGTCATCCTCATCTTCATCATCGAGAAGATGCTCTTTTATATTCTCTTTGATTGTTTCCTTGACCTGCTGGAAGAGGACGGCTGCTCGTCTACCAGTCAAGAAGGAGCCTCCTTTGTCGGACCCGCCAGAGGCTTTCTGTAAATTCTCCGGGGAAATGAGAGCAGTGTTGGGTCTGGAGGCCTCCTCCGTCAGCAGCTGAATAATCAGGGCTTCTACATCAAAGAAGAGCACGTGTATATCTGGATCTGTTAAGTTAGTCTTTATAGCTTGAACCATCAGGGAGTTATGTGAATATTTAGGTAAATTCCCCTGAAAAAAAAGAAAATTAAAAAATTAAAAAATGTGAAACTTGAATTGGATTACTTGAACACTTTCACAAAGTTGATTCACAAATTAAGGAAGCTGTGGATGACGGAAGCTTGAAAAACTCACACGGGTACAAAACACCTTACGACAAATGCTATGAAAAATTCAGTAAATAATTTTGCAGCATTTTTCACTACGTCAGGAATTCCAGATTTGTGATCAAGCTTTACATCCCTAAAATTTCACTTACAAAAGTTTATCTGATAAATAGAGCTCTAGATAGAAATGTGACCTTCCGTCTTTTCTCATTGATTCTAAAATACTCCAAGGAACAGTAAAATCTCTGTATTTTGTTATTAAGCTTAAAACACATTAAATATTTCATATTGGATATTGAAGTAAAGCAGCAATTTATAATACTGGAAAATAAGCTACTAATAAATTCATCCATATTCACAATTGATGCCTCACTTGTTCACTCTACTACTTCAGTCCATTTTCTTCCTCCTTCCCTTCCTCCCAAGGGAAGAAAAAAAAAAAAGAAAAAGAAAATTAAAATGCTATGGGATAAAAGCTGAAAAAAGCCAGAAAAGGCGATCAGACAAAAGAATGTTAAAATAAGCTTTTAAGTATTACGAGAATTTTATTCTCTCCATAACCAACAAGTACTTTGCTTCTTCAAACACGTGAAGAGAATCCCTTAACAGAAATAAACGCTGTCCAGGTGTAAGTAAAAAACGATTTCTCCTCTTTTACAATCTAATTAACAGCCTGAAGGACATAAGGTCGAATATTTGTGTTTGCTGCACAGAATTACACAGTCAGAGCAAGAAAAGCCTACAGGAGACGCAGTGAGGAGGTTCAGTGATGAAGCAGCATTCCCGATGCCTGCGTCGGCGGAAGTTAAACCCCGTGCTCAGTCGAAGGGTGTGCAGAGGAACCATGGCCCTACGCGGGTCCAGGAAGGGCTGCCGGAGAAATGGTTATTTTTTCCACAACCGATAACAGGCTGAATGGTTTATTCAGAAAACATCAACCTGTACTGACAGTAGAAGTAACTCCAGAGTTCTTAATATATCAGCAATAAAAGCGATACAGTCGAGGCTCCTGTGCTGTTTCTCATCTACAACTCAACAGCCTCAACATTAATACAACTCCTTCAGTTCAGAAGTCTCTAAAATTTCCATTCACTGGGGTCTTTTTTAAGCCAGAAAAGCACATTTCACAGCAGGATATTTAAAGTTAACAAGGCCTGCAGTTGCTTATATATACACACACCATGTATGCATTTACAAACAGGTATGTGTATATACACACATATACTATAAATACATACAGACTGTACAAGTAACATACACCCTGTCCATCATGCAAAATTGTGTTCGTTCTGTACATATACCCCAATGCACAATAGGTTTTTACCCTATATGCTATATACATCCTGATATATTGCTTCCCTCATTCACTGCCATGAAGCAACGTGCGCATCTCATGAAGCCCTAAATACCCTGGGCCATAGGAGTGGTCACCGCTGAAAGTCTGCCGAGCTGTACAACTGCATTATTTCTACCAACACCTCTTATCTGGCATTTTTCAACCCTTTCCATTCTACTTCTGAACCCTAACAAATGTATTTATCGCTATGAATCACAACACAAATGCATATTCCACTTACCATTTTATAATTGGAAAATTGGACATCCATATGTACCGTTTATTTTCTCTCTCAAGGACTTTTTTCAAGACAGTAACCATTTCTAGTCCTGGAACTACTTGACTGCTTTAAGTTTTGCACGGATTTCTTCATTTTTCACAGAATCCCAGCCTGGCCGGGGCTGGCAGGGCCCTCAGGAGCTCCCCCAGTGCCACCCCCCTGCCCAAGCAGGCTCACCCAGAGCAGGGGGCACAGGACAGCGGCCAGGCGGGGGTTGAAGATCTCCAGAGAAGGAGACTCCACAGCCCCCCTGGGCAGCCTGGGCCAGGGCTCGGGCCCCCTCACAGTCAACAAGTTCTTCCTCCCGTTCAACTGGAACCTCTTCTGCTTCAGGCTGTGCCCATGGCCCCTTGTCCTGGCGCTGGGCACCACTGGGAAGAGTCTGGCTCTATACTAGTGCTTTATTTGCAGACTCTTAATTTAAGGCTGCTAATATTTTGCTTCCTGGGAATGCACACCCGCGTATATTTTACTATATGATGTTGATGTGGAGAAGAGCAAGTCCAGTTGTTGGTTTGCTTGCTGCACTCGCCAGTTCTTGCTCACTTTCAGAGGATGACACTCCACAACTGCACTGAAACATTTACATTATTCCAACGTGCTCCTTTTGTAACAAACAAAGCAGACAGGAACAACACAGGCACAGAGCAACATTCCAAACTTAGCAAAAGGCTCTCCAGCAACCAAGCGCAGACCTGGCAAAATCCGCAATACCGTCTGCTGTGCCACTAGAACCAAGTATTTTTTAATTGCTGTCTTTCCTCAAATTAAAATTCTTTCACTTACGTGACAAAGTCAAGGCACTACCAGAAGGAAAATTCTCGTTTGGTCGCAGGGATTATGGCAGCAAAATTAAACAGAGGCGGCCCTCCTCGCAGGCTCCTCTCGGGGGAGCTGCCGCGCCGGCCAGCCCGCTGCGCCAGGGCCTCACGCAATCGGCACCCGAGCAAGCGCCAAATCCTGCTCCTTTCCCCGTGGCCAACTTGGGGAATGAATAAACTATGCTTATTGAATACCTCTGCCACGAGAAGCAGATAATGCATAATTGAAGCCAGAATAGAAGTCATTAAACGTCAATAAATAATAGCTGCAAATTATATTCTACAATGCACTGATTTATTCACGTATTCCCTATTTATTAATACAATGCAGTTATTTCCTCAGGATGCAACGTAGGTAACTTTTTATGAAATGGTCTCTGGCAACGGTCACGTTACTGGCAAAACTATAGTTATATATAATACATAATAATTAATAACATATATAATAACTATATAACATAACCAAAATATTTTAGCTATTAATCACCATTGACCTCTGCTATAGAGCCCATTTCGCTGGGGCGTGTATCGCGCCCCCGCCGGCAGCCGCACCTCCACCGGGCGCAGAGCCCACGTAGGTCGGCACAGCGCGTGCCAGCGCACCCGCCACCCTTCGGGACGCCAGCCCGCAAACGGAACGCCGCGGGAATAGCGGCACACGAGTGTGAGCACCTGCCTGTCTGTGGAAGCGTGATGGTGGTGTCCTAAGGAATGCCCTCGACAGGTCACCTGCCCTTCCCAACAGAATGTAGGAGAAGGCAAAATAAATAAATAAAGGAGAGGAGCCGCGGCAGCGGGCGGCTGGGAGCAGAGCTCTGCTGCGCTCTGCCGGTCACAGCCCAGACTACCAGAACGTTAGCAGCCTGCCCCAAGGAACAGGGGAAAAAGCAAAAATACAAGCTCGTTTCATTTGGACTCAAGTAACATTTCTGAATGGTGTTGACAGACTAAATAAATTTAATACCTGTCCACTCTGACAAGTCTTTTTTAGGAAAAAAGTTACGATGAACGGTAGAGCACCGGAATCATCAGCGAGAGCAAATGAAGGGAGACACCACCAGAGAACTGCCGAGACTGGTGATCCTCTAAGCCAACCCCCTGCTCGGTGCAGGATCCACTCGGGCACCTTGCTCAGGGCAAGGAAAGCCTCCTCCAAACTTCTCTACTACGCGACTCTAAGGATATTCTTCCCAGTTCCCATCAAGATACTTTTCGCTCCCCTCTATTAATCTTTAACAGAAAGATAAGAAGCGAGAAGTCAGGGGTCGTGCTCTTTCTGTGACAAAGTCCACGAAACCCTCACAAGGTCAGGACTTACCCTTCCTCCGTATCTGGCCAAACCAGAGATGCGCGATGCAAAGAGAAGAGCGAGCTCTTTCTTCAAGCCCTCCTCCGACAGCCTGTGCCGACCTGCCACCGAGCCCACCAGCCAAGCTGCCATCGATAACCGAGCCTACACCAAAAATTCACCCTTTGCTTTTTTGTTCCATCTCTACCATCCCCGCAGCGTGATGCTGTTACCCGCCTATTCGTTTTCAAAGTGGTCAGTCTGAATCCATCAGACTGAATAAATTAGGCACACTAAAATTAACAGGATATTCAGAACTAACTCTTGCACTGTTCTATCCTCCATACTGAAGTTCCTTAAAATTTTTACACCGTACTAGATTTTCTTGGGATGCTGTATTGTAGTCTATTTGCTCTTCAGGACGGTAAAATTGATGCTGAGATGTAAAAATTACTCTTTATACAATTTGAAATCCAAGTTATTTTGTATTCCAAGATACCAATTAGGAAAAAGAGCTCGCTACTAATTGTTACTTCCTCTCATCTCACAATATTTAAGGTTTATTTATATATTCAAAAATATGTATCAAAATATTTCTATCATCCTCTGGCTCCGGAGAGTCGCGTGCAGGCTCACCGTCCCGCTGTTGCCCTAACACCTCAACAACTCCTCCCGCGCCGACGTTACCAGAAAGCTCTGCTTCGCAGGGCTCAATCCGAGCATTACTTCTCACCCGGACCGGCAAGCAGCCTGCTGTCGTACTCTAACATCCATACAGAGCGTAAATCGTGCTTCGAAAGGAACACAGGTAAACATGCCGTGGCTCCCCCGCTCTCTATTCATAGACATACGGCGCTCGGGAACAGTTAACGAATGCTTTTCACAAGTTACTACAGACAGTTCCATTTGAATTCATCACTTAAATCATGAAACTAATTTTAAAAGTCTTTAAATATTAAGCATTGAAGCATTTAGGAATCAACCGAGCCCATTAATATCATTAAACACTTAAAATATTTCTCAAACTGTAATTAATTTTTAGCATTTAAGTTACATTGGCTCCATTTATACCTATTTGTACACGTATTTTAGTAATGCTTTTTCTCAACTGTCACACCACAACAATTACCAAAATAAAATCAAATCAAGCTCTAGCTCCACCTTCAGTCCGATCTGCAGGAACGTATAAAGCATGTCGAGTACGGGGGAAGGAGGGAAAAAACAGATCAATGCTGACTCCATTCCTCAAAGTTAGCACAAAACGAAAAGGGGGGGATTTGCTCCTGATGGATACGGATCACGGGCCGGTTCCTTGTCTACCCATCAATACTACAGATTAACTGATCGTATACAACTGAGCCAGTATTCCAGATCCTATGAAATGCTGCTCAATCCAGACTTTAAATAAACACAACCTGAAAACACCAAGAAGAGTAGAATGCACGCTGAGGTGGGAGGTGGCATCACCAACAGTAACTGAAACTGGGGAGCAACGTCTAGAGAGAGGTGGAAGGGATTGTGTTGGTTGATATTAAAAATATATTACTGCATATCTGGAAAGAGAGGAATTTATTTGGTGCTTAACCTCAGTTCTTCCTGAACCTAGAGAAAAAGACAGCAAAAGCAGTAGCGAGTTATAGAGAGTGAAGGGGAAGTTTAACAGCGTTAGACTCCAGCAGGAAAAACCACTACCGCTTGAGAGCACAAAACAGAAAATACAGAAGTGAAACGCCTTTTTAAAATGTACCTCTGGATAACAGCGCCTGCATTAGAGACTGCACAATGACGCTGAAGGCGGCTGGTGCTTCTTGTTCCAGGAAAGCAAACTCCTAGGACGGACCCAAGGCCAGGTAAAGCTACCTTAGGTCTTTCTATCAGAATTTCAGAGCGCTTTGGGCAAGACTTTCAGTTACAGCAATGAAGACTTCCCATGTTTTATTCAATTATTTATAGAAATAAACATTTCCGGTCCTGCGTTACTAACAGACAAGCTGAAACACAGCTGACCTTGTCAGACGCTTCGGAGGCGAGCAGGTTAGTGGCAAGGGTCTGTAGCTTCTGATGCGCCACGTTTTTGAGAGCAGCCAGGCTACGCCTGGTCATGGCCTGCTTCAGGTTGACGGCGGGATGGCTCAGGGAGTCCACAGCCGCTGGGACTGCCTCGTCACAGGCGTTCAGGATTTCCACCGCTGTTATTCCCATCACACACCTGTCCAGCGCACCTGCAAATATTTTCAGAAGCATGAGTTTAAGCAGAAACAATTCAGAACGTCCAAACTATCACAAGTACGCCAATGGGCAAAAATAATTTACACCACAAGAAGCAAAGCATAAAACTTGCTGTTAACACTGCTAGCAGCTATTTTCAGAACCAATATTCCTAAAGGGACGGAATTCTCCTAAATCTGCATGAAGCTGAAGCGTGTAGAGAAAAACCACATTAACAAACCCCCCACATTAACAAAAATGAAGACAAGTTTAAAACACCCACAACGTGGTTCTGTACCGACCACACAGTGATGACTGCAGCTGCTCCACATTTTTACTAGAAGGTTGTTTTCAATCCTTTTGAATTCCCTCTGCCACCCAACTACCTGCGTGGATTAAATTTTCCACAATGGATCTCAGGTTCCTCTTTGCTTCCTAGAGCTTCAATAAAAAACAACTCTCATCTGGTTTTCACAATAAGCTGAAAATAATACTCAGATATTATTGTGGTTTTTTTCTTAAGTGAGTTAAGGAGTTAAAGGGTAGTTACCTACTGCAGGTGACCCCTAAAGGTCATTCCAACCCAAAACATTCTATGATTCTAGGATATATTTTGATGCATTTTTTCCTCACTGTCTCCCTTTCAATAATACAAAATTTGCTACAAAGCTGTTTTTTCTTTTATGCCTTGTTGCTCATTCTCTTAAGGCTCATTTTTAATTTATTCTAAACTAAGCTTTAGTCCCTTTTTTAAAAAAAAACAAACCAAAACACGCACCAAACAACAGACCAAACGAACACTTCCTTCACTCTGCAGAGGAAGAAGCTACTGCCCCGTTCAAGGTGCTGCACTTCCACGCCAAGCTTTCCAGAACATTGCTGAGGAGGCAGGGACGCCAATAAACCGGGAGGACACTACAGGTGCAACCAACACTTTAACTAGTCTCTCTGAAGATAACTAGGAAAACGTGTAGGGGGCAGATGGCCACAGCAAGCTATTCTTCTCCCAAACTAAATGAGTCATTCCAAATACTAAGATATGTATTTAACAAAGGCTTATATAATCTACATGTTTTGGGAATGTGTGGAGCGCTAAATTTCCAAATCTCAAGGTCAGAAAAAATTTTAACTCTTCTCTCAGATGCACCTTACACAGAACTATAGCTAAATATTATTTTAAAAACCTGTTTAATCAAGGTCTTTGACCTTAACCTTACCAGTATCCATTTGCCAGACGTACACAGACCCGTCGGAACATCCTACCACCAGATAGTCATCGGAAGGCCTCCACTTTATTACTTGAATAGGGAAAAGGTGACGGGATGCCAGCATGATGCATTTTTTCTCCCGCAGACTCAGAAGACCCACTGAGTGATCACTGGCAACAGAGCAAACACAGTGCTGGACTCTTGCCTAATAAAAGAAAAAAAAAAAAAGGAAAAGCTGCCTTAATCATAGAGTTTTGTGTTTCATTGGACCAAGCATGGCAATCAACAACCTATTTTATAAACAAAACACAGGCACTAAGTCTATGGCTAAACTCGGTGAGGTCACTGGAACCAGGATTTCACTGGCAGAAATTCTCTTGAATCCAACCTCTTGCATATTGTAAAGAGTAAAGAGGGATTAGAGCCTGGTTTGTTGAGCAAAAAAATGTGGTTTTCAAGGAAATCAGTGTCATTTTTTCATTAAAGTCTACCGACTCACCCAAGTTAGGAAAGACAAAATGGTCTCTAAAATCTATGGGCTAAGCAGCGGGGAATGCTTGCCTATCACATTTGCAAACACCTTCGGGGGAAAGGCTGCTTCCACATCGTGGAAATCCCCTCCCACTGTTAATGCTGTGTGCCACAAAATGCCAAGCATTTCCTTAGCTAGCTAGGTTTTAATATTCAGTTCTCCCACTATTTTTAATCCTTTGCACATGTGGCTAAAACATAATGCGAACAAACCCAAGATTAACAAAACAAACTTATTTTTAAGTATCTGCAAGAGTTATACATTGGGTCAGTGCTAAATCTTCAGCACTCCATATTACATTCACGTTCTGAAGAAGGGCTTGAGGAGCTGCACCATTTATGGAAAGCGTGAGACAGGTTATCAGACGTATTACATAGAACTTACACTACAGTTTTCTGGTGGAACTAGAAGCTGTGTAATTTCTCCACCATGTACACAGAAGATATGTTTCATGTCTCCAGAAAATATATCCCATATGATGACTGAGAAATCCACACCACCTGAGATCAAATACCTTTGATCATAACGAGAAGAAACCTGATGAGGATACAGTAAACATGTAATTTTGTTTCGATGGCCTCGGAGAGTCCGGTGAGGTGGCCAACCTGAGAAATTGGGTAAGAGACGAGAGGGGGAAAAAGAAAAAAAGAAAAAAAGAGAAAAAATGTAAGTAAATAGAACAGTTAACAGTCCAAAACACTGTTCTGGATGAAAAAAAATATACAGGCACTGCAGTTTTTGATTCTACCTGCACAACGACTTCACGCTCACTTTGTGAAGCTATTTCTTACTTCAGTGCACCTCGTGCGAGGCGCACACCGTAACCCAGGCGTGCTTTTCAGCAGCTTATTCGCATACCTCTCCTAAGCATGTGCTCTCCCTGCAGCAGCTGAACTATCGCGGTTTGCGTTGCTGGCACGATAACAATGCTTCCGTCTTCACGGCCGCAAACCAAGCGCCCGTGTGCTGGGATGTACACGCTGGCTGTAACTTTGAGGGGTTCGCTGATGTTGGGTATTAAGCTTAGTTGGTCTATAATCCCAGCAGGGCGAGGAGTCAGTTTATCAAAAGCTTCCTGGAGGGATACTGAAGTTGTTGTTTGCAGTCCTGTTTAAAAAGAAAAAAAAAAAAAAAAAAAAAAAAAGAAAAAAAAAAAAAAAAAGGAAGGGGTGAGGTGGGAAGAGGATTTAATAAAAAAATAAATCAAGAACTGAAACTAGGAATGCTTTTCTGAAGGGATCTCGAAGTTTAAATACACCATGTTACAACATTTTGAACAAAGGTACATACTGGAGATTAATTTACTGACTACATGAGTGGAAACAACACATGGGAGAAGTGGAAAAGCGTATCATTGAAGCCATGCAGGCAGACAGCAGTGACCATGGCCAGCAGTTGGAATAAAGCAGTTAAAACCTAATACCTCACAAATAGTCAGAGCAAATTAAGGTTTTGATAACATATGAAAAAATTAAGTTACTATAACTCTTACCAGATGCTAATAATTAAAAAAACCCAACTTCATGGATCTGTAGGAAAAGCAGCAGTGCTTCATCCAGCAATAAAACACGCTAAAAGAATAGAGATGCCCATTAACAGCCTGGGCACCCAGCCCCTCACCGCGGTATATACCTTTTACACCGTCTTGTTCAAGAGTATCAGGCACGCTCCAGATACACAGCCTCCCTGAAGAGTCTCCTTGGATTAGCAGCTTATAGCAAGAGTCCCTACGTCCACAGAAGAATCGAGTAACTGGAGGGCATATTAGTAGCTGTTAAAAAAAAACCCAAACAAATTAACAACTTCAGAACATGTGCAAACCACGTACTAACCTCAAAATTTACCTTCCCCACATAATACACTGCACCTTGTACAAGCAGAACAAAACCTAGCTACTCTGTGCTTTATCTTTCTCACAGGAGAAAGAATAAATACAGCAATATGAATACATACAGGAATACAAATCGGAAGGAACTGTGGTTAGTTACAAAACAAGTCATGGGTTTAGGGGTGAGGAAAAAAGATTTTTATATATATATTTGGCTTGTTCTAAATATTAATATATTCTATATATATTCTAAATATATTAATATTTAGAACATTTTCTATATGTGTGTGTTTATTCTAAAATATTCTAACTGCAACGGTGAGCCAAAGCTACACTACTCAGTAAGGAACATGGTCCACAACAGAGGCAAAAAAATTTTAATATTGATTGACATCATAAAGAAAAAAATCAAATATATAAATGTTTTGATGTCCCAATATTGATTGGCAGCATGGAAAAAAAATACACAAATGTTTCAATGTCCAAATTTGGCAACAGATTAAATGGTTAAGATAAAAAAAAGATTCCTGTAAGAGTCTTGTAATAAAAGCATTTGTGACTTACACCTGGTCACATAGCTGTGAGTACCAGCTATATCATACAGCAGTCGTAGATATATTAGCTTATAGCAGACACAGTTCACAGCACAATATAAAAATGAAGCACAGCTCAGAGGACTTTGGCCTAAAAAAATTTGAGTTTCTTTACTTTGCAAGGATTTCAGCTTTCAAATTCAAAGCTGCGATTCCAAAAGCTCTTGCTCGGTTACTGCCTAAGCATCGCGCACATCACAACTTGACTTCTAACTCTCCAGGCACGGATGAAAGATAAACCGTTAGTATAGAGGAACTGAAGATTCGCCTGACCAGAGACTAACCGCTGACTTTATTTGAAAACCAACAAGCAGCAAACCGAACCACAGGGAAATTGCACCCGTCTGCTTTCACTAGGAAAAGAAGAAATCCTAAAGGTCTACTTGGAGACAGCCGAACCGGCCATGACGTACACGTTTCAACTCTCTAAGGGAGAAAGGCAGTCCATAAAAGAAACTCCAAAAAATATATTTTACCTGTTTATCTGCTCTGTCCAACACACTGTACAGTAAGGGTGGAATTAAATTTTCTACTGCTTTCCCCACATCTCTGCGAAATGAATCACTAGCTGGTAGGCAGCTGGGTTTAAGAACAAAGAGAAAGGAATAAAACTAGCTAACTACTAAGCAAAAACAACCCCCAAGCCCTTAAACATTACGTTTTTTCAATTTTTAATACAGTGTACAGCAGATCATTAATTTCAATGTCAATTAATACCTGCTCCAGCCAAACGTGCCCAGCTCAGTTCCCCCACACATTCACAACTGAAGGAAAAAAGAAGGCAGGCAGCCTGGCTTTAGGTCTGCTTTGGACTTAACACATCTGGCCTCAGACTCAGGACCAAAACGTGCCAAACTCAAGGATTCCTCCAGCAGATCACCAAATAGATCTGCTCGCATAGGGAGGTGAGAAGGGAGTTCCCGCCCCATTTGCGTGACAATATTCAAGGGTCTCCAAGATAAAACTCTATCTCTACCCAGAGCAGATATGCTTGCACATCATAAACATGTCAGAAGATTTTTATTTTATTTTGTCATTCTCCATTTATTTAACCTCTTTGATACCCAATTTTAAATTAATTTTATATTTTCACATTTACATGCACAAACGCAGCTGTTTGTGCCTTCCCTTAATGGGCCAAGAGCACTTTGTTGCAGTAATGCAATCGCCATTTACATTCTACTCCATACAGCACAATCTTATTCCTTCCTTATTTGGACCTGCTTAAGGAAGTATTTACATTTATGACACATGTTCAACTGCAGAATGCACCTCTTCCCATCACACAGCTCCATGAGGAAGTGCAAAAGAGTTTGTGGAACATCAGAAAACAGCGAGGCACTCTTGGCTGAGGCAATCTAAATTGCTGAGCATTGCTTCACCGTGATATGTTCAGGGACACACACTAAAACATGCTCATGGAATACCAGTTTCTGCAACATCCATATGATTTTGTAACAAAATAGAAGCCAAAGATACTCAATATTTCTTCAAAGTTGCTCATGTTTTTATCTCAAAAAAAAATAAATGGAATATTTCATTGCTGACTACCTGGCTGGTAACTTATATATGAAACTTTGTCCATCTTCTGTCCATACAATCACTTTATCAGCTGACACAAAGTCACCACCAGTCCAGGTCTGATCATTTTCACTCGGGACTGAACATAAGAGGGAATAATCCCCAGCATCAAAAACCTGAGAAGAAAACAGAAAAGTCTGTTGTTGTTACCCAATTACAGATTAAAATGCCCAGACAGCAGCTGATTTCGGTTTCAGTACAGACACGTTTAAAGGACTTAGAGCATCCTGACCTAAAAGTCTTACTGGCAAGTAAATTAAATGAGCTGGTCCAGTGAAAAGCAGCCAGGTGCCGCTCAGCGGGCTTGCCTTACCCTCCAGTATTTGGAGCACACCACCAACAGCGACCACTGGGTGAACGCACAGAACGAAATGCTTTGACAGTTTTGACAATAAATGGGTTTTGACTCCTCTTCAAATACTGGTGTTGTATCCTAAAACCAAACAAAACCAACATTAAATTAACTCCATTTTATTTAAAATTGTAAATCTGAAATTAGAAGCATATTGCCTTCCATAATAACATCTTCAGAAAAGGCATTTCTTGATGGTTTTCAATTTGCTCAAGTCATAAGGTTGTCCATATTTCTGTAAATTTTAACAGAAATAAACACTTATGTTTCATTTTGATACTCCTATGGGTATACTGTATCTTGAATAACGACCTTCCTGTGATAAAGAGTCAGGTCTGCAGACCTGTTGCAGGTACAAGAGTAGCAAATGTGCAGAAAAGCAGAACTGAAGGTTACTGATAGGTAAGAAACTGGCTTTACAGACAGACAAAAATGACACCACCAGGAGGGTATCGCTTTTATTTAGAGAGCATACAGAGCCATGACCAGGCGCCAGGACCGAGCAGCACGCCCAGCAGAGCCGGAGAGCGGAACCGCTGAATGCACGAGCCCATTCCCTTCCTCATGCTCACTAGCACAATCACGTCTCAAAGTTTTCAGCCTTGGCCAGAGGTTAAGAGTCAGTCACTGCTGACCACGTTCTTCTCGGATTCAATCCAGCTCTACCAAACCGTGCGGGTTCTTAACCATTCGGCCAAATGCCCTTCCGCTGAGCATCAGACTGATCGGTCACATCGGTGCTGTACTTTGATTAATCTGGGCCCCCCCTCAAAGCAAAACTTTCTCTTCTGCTTGTATTGAGGGTGGTCACTGCTAACCTGTCCAGATCCAGAACACACAGGAACTAGCTCTCAATCTAATCCTCACGCTGACTGACTGTCCATCTTCACTCTGACTTGGGACACCCTGAAGGAAGGAGGGACAGCCATGCCATTTATCATCGGAAAAGTTTGGTTTACAGTTATAAAAACCTGGCTGAAACAACAGAAGGCTGCAGGTGCCCTGCAGGGGGTAGGGGAGGCTTACAGGAGGTTTACAGAAAGACCTGTCTGCAACACCAGTCACTTCAACCCATTTCATAACAACCTTACTGAGACAGGGCAGAGCAGATCACAGAATCACAGAATGGCAAGGGTTGGAAGGGACCTCAGGAGATCATCCAGTCCAACCCCCCTGCTAGAGCAGGCTCTCCTAAAGCATGTTACACAGGACTTCGTCCAGGTGGGCTTTGAGTATCTCCAGAGAAGGAGACTCCACAGCCCCCCTGGGCACCCTGTTCCAGTGCTCTGCCACCCTTAGAGTAAAGAAGTTTTTCCTCATATTCAACTGAAACCTCCTATGTTTCAGTTTGCACCCATTGCCCCTAGTCCTGTTGCTGGACACCACTGCAAAGAGTCTGGCTCCATCCTCATGACTTCCACCCTTAAGATATTTGTAGGTGTTGATAAGGTCCCCTCTCAGCCTTCTCTTCTTCAGGCTGAACAAGCCCAACTCTCTCAGCATAGCCAGGCAATTCAGGCAGAAGTGGGGGCTCCGATGTTCAAGATCAGAACTCCTTACCCTGTTACAGATCTCTGGGGCAAGATGGTATTTTCCTGAAATAATATTTCCTCATCTTCAAGATGGGGACTAAGCACTCTGTCCTACACAGATGCCATTTAAGTGCTCAGACGGTGTGACAGCAACCAGCGTCTGAAACGGAGAGTCTCTACACAGAACAACATACAGACGGAAATCAGGTAACAAGAAAATACCCAGCTGATTTTTTTTTTCTTGCTCAAATTGGCTTCGGAACATGACGTAGACCATGTGATGGAGGAGGGACTATGCCATTTCATAAGATGCCAAATGGCCAACTTCTAAGGAAAAACCAAACACTTGTAGCAGTCCTTATTCTATTATTCCTCATAAGAAGATCTGCAAGAGCATGTGGTATCCTCTTCCGTCACTTAAGTCTAACAAATTCCCCAGCTGGACAGATTAGCAGTGCCTATTTAGTATCATCGCTGTCACTGAGTTACCTCACATCCAGATAGCCAGCGGAATCCAAGCAGGCTCAGCTCACATCTCATTCGTTCAAGGTTCCCCATGCCCCAAACAGACTGTGATAAGCTCCTGGTTAGTTATGTCTTTCTGTTTTGTACTTCCATAACAACCAATACTCTTCACTGCTCACAGCTGTTTTTTTTTTTAATTAAGTGTAACTATTAAATGTGATCTCAGCTAAACCATTACTAGCTGCATGACAAGGGTTTCCAGAAAACGCCTAGAGAGCAAACATAATTTCATCAAGTTTTGAAACTATGAAACAAAACCCCACAAATACCACCCCGTGATGGGGTCAAAAGCAAGGCATTCCATTACCTTGGTCTTCCAAGCTAATGCAAACGGTGTTGCTTTTGTGTTATAAATATTCTGGAAATAAGCAGGTTCATAAAAAAAAAAATAGTTCACTTGCTCCATAAGGGCTTTTTTCTGTAGTTGCTAAACATCTAGAATAAGGTATATCATGAATAATATTTGTATACGGACACGAATATTTGTATACGGACACGAGTTCTGCTGGTAACTTGAAGAATCAGTAAAGCAAAATAAAAGTAGTTGATTTTTCAAATGGCAAAGAGTGAAAACACCCCCATAATATCATTAGGTAGCTGGAAGAAGAGGAAACAGCATTAATAGAAGCTCTCCCTTCCTCCCAACAGGAAATATCATTAATTCAGAAGCCTTTGTTTACCTGCATCCGACTGACTTCAGAGGTTATTATCCAGACTTTCAGGATGCCAGTCACCGAAACGGCTACGACAGTGTCCTCTGGGGAAAAAACGAAACATCAGGCTGGTAAGTACAAGGACGTCTTCATTTCGTTGCACACTTGTGCATGTCTGAGTACACAAATATACCCAGAGTACCTCAACGTTAAAAATTTACCAAAACATTCCTGAAGTGTTTGCTTCAAAAATCAAACGTTTATTTGCAAAGTGGTATTCCAGACACACACAGACTCCATCGTTTTGTGTTTACATCTCTCAATTAATACCCAGGACTCAAATTAAATGGGGGGGAAGGGAAGTGACCGTTGTTTCTAGGGCTGCTATCAGACATTGTGGGCTGTCCCATCGCTCTCCCCAGAGGCAAGGGGTTACTCTCCCAAGAAGGGAGATTTGTTGCTTACGCCTGGCTGGCTGCCCCACGCCAGCCCACGAGGGCACCAAAGTTTAAGGGGAAGCATGCTCGAGTTGTACAGCCACTCAAGCATCTCTGGGCTGCGGGTTCCCAAAGGGCATCTCTGCAAAATTAGAGTTATTACCGTCACAAAACCCAAAGTCTATCAAGCACTAGTCAAGCTTTCTGGACATTCCTGTTTCTAACCAGGCAAGTCTGGTGTAAGACCAAAATCCAAGGAGTACCTTCTTGAATACAATATTGAAATGATTACAAAACAAGAAATAAAATTAAAGGCAGCATCAGGAAACACTTAATACCAGAGTTCACTTCCAGTTGTCACAGACAACTTGGACGCTGTGGGGATCGCAACTGAGCCTTCCCACTCCAGGACTTTGGGAACACTCAGTTTACAACGGCTGCCAGCCTTAACTTAAGGTAAAAGTCTCTCCTTTTGCCAGCATCTTCTTCCTTAGTGTTCCCCAAACCTCTAAGGAATTACAGTCCCCATGACAGGAAAACCTGAATGAGAGACCTCAGCTGCCAGCATTTAAAGCCTAGCAAAGTAACACAAACCAGCAGAGCAACACAGACATGTGGACAGCTATCACCTCAAACCATGTCAGCTAACCCGGCACCGAACGCGAGCCTACTCACGCACCGCCCTGCTAACCTGACGGGCATCGCTTTTACAAGGGCCTCCCTCTACAGCCTCCAGGTTTTTTAATCCTATCGTGTACTTGAATCAGCACTTCCCTTAAACACATTTCCTACAATAACAGCTTTGAAAATATAACGACAATGCTTTTTATAAAGCTACTAATCACAACAAATACTCGTGTATGTCTGTATTAACATATATATCTTGTCAAAAATGGCAACAGATAGCTCGCCAAATGATCTCGATGCGTACTGCACATCACGTTGGATGCAGCCTCAGCATCGAGTGCTTGCACCCCTTCCTTCAGTCTTGTGCCTCTTGCTGTCAGAGTGCTCTCCAGAACTCTTTCTCAATTCTCAAAGACAAAACAAGTTATCACCCTAGTGGAACATGCTAGGAAGAAAAAAAAGAAAAAAAACTTTTCCTGTAGGAAGGTTCCTTGTCCCTCAGGTTTCAGCACATGCACACGCTGAAGATGACAGAACTGAACCTATTTACTAGGTGAGCCTGGATCCTGCCAAGCACACCCAGAGTGACTTGGCTAGATTTTAGGTTCTGTTCCTGAGAAAGCAGTTACGTTTTAGCCAGAGCCAAAGTTCCCATTTGAGGGAACAGCAGAGACCGCGCCGCATAGACACCGAGCTAGCTTCTTTTTTGGGAACTAGAAACAACTACGTACACTTTGCTTTTCAGAAAGGTCAGTGCTTGCTGGGTGTTGCCCAGGATCACAAGAAATAAGATTCTAGTTCCTCCCCAGGTTCTTGAAGAAGTTGAAAACAGCGTTTCTCTTACAGGGAGGCAAAGTCGTAATAAAAGCAACAAAAATAATTACCTTGTGTTCTATTGGATCGAATGATAGTCATGGAGCTGATCCAGTCAGGAGATATCTTTGATAATAAAGAATAAAGAACTTCCAGGCTGGTAGCATCCACAACAAGAATTTCTGGATAATGGCCATGGCACAACAGTCTCCCTTCACGCTGCGTCCCAACTGTAAACTGATAGAACTAAATGGATATTAACAAAATACAGAAATTACACTCCACGTGAGACACTGACTACCGCATTTTTAATCAAAACCAGTATTTCATAAATACATTCTAATGCCTATATGTTTATGTTCTGCTGAGGGAAGCTTTTGGCGGAGGCCCCCGTTCTCCTGTCCCCCCCCCCAGGGCAGCCCTTGCCCCACAGGGCCGGCTCCCGTAGCCGAGAGCAGCTTGCCTCAGCCTTCCCCACCAAGACGCCCCTCCCCAGGCAGTGCCCCTCCAAACATCTTCCCCTTTTCCTCCTTTCTCCCCAGCCCCTCTTATTAATTATGGTACATTTTCTCAAATGCTGAAGCCCAAGCACATATTTCCAGCATTTGATGACACAGCATAAACTACGAGATACTGAAGTATGCACACATTGTCATTATTATGATTAAAAAGAAACAAAGGAGCCTTGCTTTGATAACCGATCTATAGATATCCATGGACTGCAATAGAGAAACCCCCCCAAAGTACTAACCTGTATGCCAGTATGTGTACAGGCGAGTTTAGTGAACTCTATGCATCTCCCGTCGTTCACATCCCACAGACACATCTCCCTAAAACATAAAAGGCAGATTAAAACTACATGGAAAATATTTCAGTCTTCCAAGAGTTTAAAAATCATTTACACTGGGAGAAACTTAAGCATTTGAGCCAGTTATTAGTGACTACGTGAATTATATTTAGATAAAGGAAACTCAAAATCAACTTGAATTTTCAGTCCTTCTATCTGAATCTACACAACCTCTTCTTCCCTACAAAGATCATGAAATCGTTTGGGTTGGCAAAGCCCTTTCAGCTCCCCCAGCCCAACCGTTCCCCTACCCCTGCCATCCCACCCCCAAACCCTGGCCCTCAGCACCGCCTCTGCCGGGCTGTTAAATCCCCCCAGGGGTGGGGACTCGACCCCTTCCCTGGGCAGCCCCTTCCAGCCCCTGACAGCCCCAAGGGGAAGGAATTGTTCCCCATAGCCAACCTCACCCTGCCCTGGCACAACTTGAGGCCGGTGCCCCTCGTCCTATACCAAGGTTCACCATAAACAACCAATATTGAGTAAACACAAGTACATAACTGCGATTTTCTCACTTCTCTCACCAATGTTTCAAGTCATTCTATTCTTCTACTGCATCCCCCAAGTCACCCAAAGATTAGCTTGCCTTCTCCACATCGGCAAGGAAGAAATCAGCATTACAGGACTGCGCCAGGCGGCAGTGAACACTGCGGGTTTGTCCGAGGGCCCAGGCTGTTCAGGGGTGGAAGCATCACCTGGGACTCCTCAGCACTTCCAAGACCAAACCCCGAATTACAAGTTGTGCCAGTGGACTCTGACTTGCCTTATGAGCAATGATTACAGTTACCTGTATGAATGCATTCCAATTAGCAGCCATGCCCCCTATTCACAGTATTTTTAAAAAACACTCTTAAAATTTGATAAAGTTTAATCAGCACAGAATCTGTCAGCTGCTTTCTCACCTTTTCTCCCCCCTTTACATCAGATATATAATTTCACAATGAAAACATATTTTGGTTCTAAATCCAAAGGAAAAGATTACCTAGTACTGCAATCATGACAAGATGGGAATTCTAAGTTTTGACACATTCTACTCTCAACTTCCAGGTTAAAAGGTTGTTCAGTCATATTGTTCCCTGCCTTTCCCAGATAAAAAATTTCTTTATTTTATTTGGATACGTAACAGACCTATACGTTGCCAGCTACATTCATACAGGCAGACGTTAAGAAATTTCTTTCTCAAGCAGAGCTGATCAAATGGGCCTCAGCCTGGAGGTCCAGCTTTCTGTAAACAGCCTTTGAAAAAACCAAGCACACAAACAAACCAAAAACCCCAGGTTCACGAGAGTCTTTTTCCTTCCATAAGCTCATTTTGCATACCAGAAAAGTCTGTCATTCAAACAGCGAGTTCTGTACAGGAATGAAAAAGCCCTGAAGAACAGACGGATGCTCTCGGAAGGAATAGCTTTGCAAATACTTTCAGGTCAAATATTTTGCCCAGTGAAAGACAGAGTTGGAATGTTAACTTGTCAAAGCAAGCTTCCAGCAGGTAAAGTGGAAAGGCACACTTTAAAAGCAAACTACACGCGCACACCGCGTTACATCTAAGAGCGTTCAATGTCTCCACTAGCTAAAGAAGGGGTATCATGATGAGTCAGTACAACTCCTTTCCAAAACACAGGTGCTTTTATTCCAGAATAATCATCTCCGCAAAGAGCGCTAATCCATTTTAAACCTCTACCGCACCTCAGCAGGCAGGTTCCCTGTGCTGTAAGACTCAGGGGAGAGATGCTAAAGATCAGCGGCATTACGAGATGGCCTCGCCACAGGACAGGAGCAAAGGGCAACCCCTCCTGTTCAGTGCAAGACCGGGCAAGAAGACGATTCATTTATCACCTTCTACTTAGGAACTCAGAAGCTGTTCTAGACTCTTGATAACAACAGCAGTTACTCCAACTCCCTGAACCAAAACTAGTCTCATATTTGGGGGGGAAAAAAGCTCCTGCCTTCCAGAACGCTATCAGCAGAACAAGACCACGGCCCGTTTCCTAGAAACCCCTTGTTGGTAACGAGGACTCACTTCCATACAGCCAGCCAGAGCAGGAGTGCAGATACAAGGGTACAGGGAATGCACCCTCCCCGCTGGGGGGCTGCCCTGGGCTCACAGCCAACTCCGAGAAGGTGCTGTCTGGTCTTGAGGAGCTCCTGAGAGCGCCCTGGAAACTGTCCCAGCGGGAGCTCCCTGTCTCTGCAAGGCTGTTTAAGCTGGGCCCTCTTCCCCATCCTGCCTGAGCTGTGCTGCCAGCCTGGCCATGCTGCCCCGGGGCCCAGCTCCTGACAGCTGCTAACGTGCCAGGCCCATGGGGAAAGAGCTCTCCATAGCAGGAGGGGACCCGAATCCAGATGACACAAGTGACAGCATGAAAACACAGCAGGTCGAGGGATTCTGCCAGCTGAAGTGCTCTCCCAGTAGAGGACAGTCGGGTACTAAAGCTCCTGCACTCAGGCAGAGGATGGGAAGGAGAAGAGGTGTGGGGGGGAAATAACACGTGGGTTATGAATGACAAAACTAGGTGGCCCCAAAGCTTTGACCTGTAATTCATCAAATTGTGTATCTTTTCAATAAATTAGCCCAAAATCTAGGCTAAAATGTGAGCGTACCAAGTATATTTTATTGAAAAGTTACAGAGTATGACTTTTTTTCCCCTCTAAATTACCTGACTGCAATCCCCATTAATGTCATCTGCATGCAGCCTGATCTAGTTAGCGGTGTCCCTGCTCCTGCAGGGGGGTTGGACTAGATGACCTCTAGGGGTCCCTTCCAGCCCAAAACATTCTATGATTCTATGATTCTATGATTCTATGAGAAATCCTCCCCACTTCCACCCTTTAAACAGTTTGATTAGTAAATAAAACCTCTTAAAAAAGAAGATGTATTTGCTGGCGTATTTTTTCTTAAGGGTGAAAAAAAAAAAAAAAAAAAGCTGTTAAATTTTCAGAGCTGTTCTGTGCCCTCAGAAATTTCAAATTCCTGGCTGGAAAGAGGTCAGTACAGGTTTTCCTGCTGGGAGGACACAGTGGAACAGCATTCTATTAGTCGCTGATTAGAGTGTCCTACTTGTGATTTATTCCTTCTCCTTCATTCACTGGCTTATGGAGTAAACATCCCCCAGTGAGCACTGCAAGTCTCCCATATGTTCCTGTTACTTCTGCCTTTAGCGCTCTGGTTTACAGACATGAGAAGCACAAGTCTCGTAATAACAAGTCTACTCCCTTGTCCAATTTACACAGTTACAGATGCAGACAAACACAGTAGTCTGTGGTTATTTATGCTACTTCCTCAAAAAAAAAGTGCAGGCACTATACATGCAGTTAGTAAATTATACCTAGCTGTCACAGTGAAGCAAGGAACTACAGAAGGGAATGAGATGCAGTGTACTCAAGCAAATTATCTGAGGTCACACTGGAGCTGGGTAGAAGACTCAAGTGCAACCTACATCCTTTGCCCCATAATATATAGGATGCTATTCTACCAAATGTTAAGGACAATTTACACTCTTTTCTTCTCTCCTAATCTGCTGGCTGCTACCCCCCCCCGTGTAAGTGAACATCATCTGATTACCTTGCCTCTCTCTGTCCTCTCCCCTCTGCTTCATTTGTTAAACCATTCCAATGTCCAGACTGCTTTCCAGGGCTTCACTATTTATTAAGAGGTATCTGGAAGTATTTATCTTCTTGACATTATATGAATGTATGCAAATGTTATGGAAAAGTGGCTTAGCCCCACAAACAAATGCCACCAAACACTTGCAGTCTTTGTTTCAGAGTCAGCTGCTAAATCCTCCCCACTTCCACCCTTTAAACAGTTTGATTAGTAAATAAAACCTCTTAAAAAAGAAGATGTATTTGCTGGCGTATTTTTTCTTAAGGGTGAAAAAAAAAAAAAAAAATCACACTGCAACAGAAATGTAGATAAATTGTGTGACAGGTTTCCGAGCTTTAAAACACGTATTAGGCATCATTTCCTGCCAACGAGCTCCACTACAACTCAAGCTTGCTTTCACTCAAGAAACAGATCTCGGATAAGTAAAGGAGCAAAATCTGCATCTACTGTGAACTGGGCTGACAAACTGCGTGAGCAAAAAGGTGACAGAAAGCACACGAGTGCCTTGACGGAAGGGCACAACGTCACACACCTCATTGCCCACCCACAGGGGAATCGCAGCCAGTGCTCCGCACAGTGCTCTGTGTGCGACCGCGCAGCGTCCTGCCACGGACTCCCGGGATATGGCAAATTACAGGGGAAACCCCCCAGGACCTCGGGCACTGCCCTGGGCTCCTTTTCAGGCCACGAACCCAAAAGTCACACCACACTCAGCATCTGCAGTGGAGAGTCCCAGCATTTGGAATATCTACAGACATTAGATTAAGTAAAAAAACCCCAAACAACGGTCTACTTAAACAATCCAATCTCTCCTCTACCCTCAATTTCCGTTATTTACAGATCTGCATATTAATAAATCCTCAGGCAACTCACCCGCTTTCTGACGCGCTCACTATATACTGCTTTTCACTGGAAGCAGAGGCCTTTGATAGACAAGTAATTGAGGCTGTATGACCAAACAACAGAGCTCTGGGATTAATCTAGAATCAGGGAAATAAAACGTGAAGCAAAAATAACAAAGGCACTATTACTTAACCAGAACATACACAGTCCAGATTTCCATTTTATATATCATATAAGTACAGATGTGTTAATACATATACACACACATTTAATTAGCATAGCAGCGGATATACAGTCTTGAACGAGCTTACACAGAATGCTGCTATAGTATGTTAAAAGAGAGTTTCTACCTAATACTGTAATGCAAATTTGTCAAAAAATGCATTTTGCATCAAACTCGTGCTATCAATAATTTTAAATCGTAGGCTGAATTTGGCCCAACTTAAATGAAAAAACTCGTGTGCTACTGCAACAATATAGTTGTATATAACAATCAAGTATAATTCACAATGCTGTGTTTTCATACATCAGTTTATATAAAGCCCGTGTATAGATTAAAGATAAAAACCAAACCCTGCCCTTTATTTGTCCTTTCCAGAAAGGACTGGTCACCTTCTCCCCTTCTTTCTTTTTAAAGACACTAACCAAACATAATTTTGGAGGGGGGTACCTCACAGATGCTGAGATTTTTAGGTATTCAGTATAAGCTTTTCCCAAAGCATGCTGATTTTTTTTACAAGTAAGGATTGTTTTGCTTTTGGATTCCACAAGTTTAAAACTCTTTACCAAAGCAAGCTCCAAGATCACATTCAAATTAGACACATAGGGGTTTCCACTCTAGGGCTGCCACTGGCATAAACCAAGTAATCACCAACCTTTCTCTCTGCTACCAGCCTCTCCTCTTTCCGTTTTCATGAGGAAAAAAAGGTTGAATAAAATAATAACCTGAAAAAGTTCTCCACGTACAGTCCTCTGTTCCCTGGAATCTGCTTTCACAAAACAGTATCAAGCAGCTAAACTTGAAAATAACAGCTAGTGTAGAGCAGCTCCAGAAAAGAGGAAGTAATTACTTAAAATAATTATTGCAGGAGCAGCAACCAAGTTCAAGAGCAGAAACGTCTCTTTCTAATCGGAAATATTCACTATGGGAAGCACGAGCGTCACATCCCTCGTGAGAGGGAAGAAGAAAGGACAAGCGAACACAGGGCAGAGAGAGAACTGAAGACCAGAACGGATGCTGTAACATCGAAGGATAAAAATCACACTGGCAACAACGATACGCTCTTTAAACACAAGTTACATTATCATTGTATATCTCAGTCTTACCTCTAAATCCAAAGAAAGGTCCCAGAGGCATATCTGGCCGTCGTGGCACCCCGTGACGATCATGGACGCGTCCTCCATGAGCAGCAGGGTGGATATGCAGTGCGTGGGGGCTTTACGGCCCCACAGGACGATGGGCAGAACAAGGCTGTTTCCTGCCATTTTGCTTTCACACCTGCCAATTTAATCAAGATAATAAACATTATGGCAGGTTTGCCATTCCCACACTTCGCACCTTCTTATCCCCACAAAAACTTACAGCAGTAGTCTGAAGTGATGTTATATGCGTTATACAAAAGCAGCATAGTCACTCCATATGCCATTCTTCAAATAAAACATAGTGTATAGACACCTCTTCCCTCATCAGGGAAGGCGTTCATCTTCATACACGGATTAAAAAAACATTCTTTAAACAGTCACTTGAAAAATACGGTCCACTGCAGTAGTATTATACCATCGCAATTTTGATTGCTTGCACATTTTGCAGAAGATAAATTTCCAAAAAAAAAAACCCTACACACACAGGCACCCAGTAGCATTTCCCTAGGCACAGAGGTACTTTTGCCAAAATCGTTCTTTTTACACCAATTCCGAATGCTTTAAGTCGCAGGGCTGCAGCAGCTATCATATGCCTGACAGCAGAGTTCATCCCCATTTGCAACAAGCTTTAATCAAAAATAGGCTCCGGAGCTTTCTGCAGATGACCACGTACTTTTCAAAAACACCGTTCTGCCAGCACAGCGTCACGTGGACACAGCTTTTCAAATTTATATTTATGCTGGAGGATCTGGTATCCTGCATTAGGTGAAATCAGAGGTGGAAAACATTTTCAGGGTTAATACCATCCCTTAATTCATACTCTGACGGTTCATTCCCCCTCGCACACACAGCTACAGAGGCTAACTAAACAAATAAAAGCTAATTGAAAATAGAAATAGCCTAATTAAAAGATGTACGTTAGTTCTGAGCCTTTCATTCTGGTTCCTAAGCCTGAGCAGCAGATGCTGTCAAAGCGTCGCCTCCCCGGCCCTGGTGCAGCAGCCAAGCTGCATCTTGCAGCCTGCCGTCCTCGGCAGGAGACCCCCCCCGCGGGCAGGAGACACCCCCCCCGCAAGCAAAGGCTGCTTGGGCTTGGATGGGGCGACAGGGGAAAAGGAATAGGAGGGGCAATATCAGCAGATGTGCTCTTCAGGGGAAAAATTCTTACCAGTGTTCACCATACAGACTGGATTCTGGCCACTCTCCAGCAAGAGAGAGATGCAGCGCTATCTTCATGCCAACATTTAATATATTGAAATATACTGACACAAGCAAAATGGAGAAATTTTTATCTGTCACAAAGCCAAAATTTCCTTGGTGACTGCGAAATAGGGAACAACAAAGGTGTCTGAATGGTTCAGAGAGAATGAAAACATCACAGAAACTCAAGTTGTAGTAATAAAAACCAGTTAGGAGGATCAGCACAAGATTTAACACCAAAACAAACCGCTGTTTTGGTTAGCAACATTCTGAGCTTGCCAGCCGCTTAGATGCTTTGATAATGTACGATCCCCAAACCTGAGTTTGCTCGGGCTGAGCTTGCCCAGGCTGAGCCTGCCCAGGCGCTGCCAGCCCGCAGGCAGGGGCCGAGGCCAGCGGCAGCTCCGGGGGCAGCCAGGCTCCCTCCCCGGGCTGCCGACCCCGGCAAGTCCATGCTTAGGGAAGGGAAACTGCAAATGCCAGACCTGCTTTTGCTTTCCACGTAGCCGACTGAGCTCGTGACTGCTTTGGGTATACTTTTCAGGTATATTCTGCATTTAATAAATAAAAGTGCTGGGATTTAAGTTACACTTTGACTGTGCTAATGATAAGTTTACCTAAGACATACGTAAGATCCATTCCAGTTACTATGACTTGGAAACAACTGAAAAATGGTCTGTGTAACCATCAAGCAGAGAAAATGTATCAAGAATGACCGACATTTTCTTATCCATCTCTTATTCTGGCTTCAGAGTTGTGGGAGTTACTCTGCTCCCCCGCGGTAAAACTTTGAGTTATGGAAAGTTATTGCTTGGAGCATTTTGTGATAAATGAATGGCTGAAACGGTAAATAAAGAAACAAATGGGCTTTATGTACTATCGTGGGGAGGTTTATGTTCTGAACTTACGACAGCTCCAACCAGGGCAGAATTTCTGATTTAGGAGAGTCTAAACCCATCACACACAGGCGGAATTCACCAAAGAAGTATTTTAAAATGTGTATTTTCCTGTCTTTCTACAGATACACACGTATTCTTCTTGCTTGACCGATCCAGCAATACTCACATGTGCTCACAGATATGTAAACCCATTTTACAGCACTTCAGAAGAGGGGAAAAAATTCTGAATTATGACAGAGGAAACATAAAAGTCATCCTGAACCCAAGCGAGGTTCACGACAGCTCCACTGCCCCACTGGGATAACCACAGCTTCCCGGTGTCCCTGCAATACTCTGAGTCCCCGGCCACCGCCAAGTGCCACAAAGTCACCCCCTGCCCTTTCTTCAAAGGGAGCACCAGATTTCCACGGAAGCTGTGGGAATGGAATTCAGCGATCTTCAGTTCTGCTGAAAGCCATCACGCAAGGTCCAGCGTCCCCCCTTTGAGACCACCTCAGATTTGCTATAGGAAGAGAGGCAGCTCCGCCTTTCGCCCCCGCCCCAGCCAGCACTTGGCCTTCTGATCTTACGTTGCCCTGGCCCTTCCCAGCAGGGACTCCCGCACTTAAACCAGTGCTTTCTGCATCAAAAATACTTCAAAAGACCTTTTTTTAACTACACTACATGGAGTTAAACATAAATGAATGTAATCTCTCATCTAAAAATTACAGTGCACTTCCTTCAAGAAGGTAGTTTTTTATTAATTTTGACAAATGCTGCCTTACTCCTAGTGCAAACAACCCGCTGCATCCCGAGAAATCGAACATGATAATGGACATGGAAAAATGGGGGCAGGGAAGGCAGCAGGAGCAGACTAATGAATAGCTAAGTATTACAAACTGTACACCAGCTTACGGGGCCGGCCGGACCTACCAAGCCGCAAACTTCTGAGAATTGAGACGCATATTACGGGTTTTCACAAAATCTGTATCCTAAACCCAGTAATATCAGTTACGATGGAGTGCCATCTTTTGCCAACTCATTTCTTGCATCCCACTGGACTGTCTTTATTAAGAACTATTTATTTTAATATGAGCTATTACTTAATAAACAAGTATAAATCATAGAATCACAGAATGGTTTGGGTGGGAAGGGACCCCCAGAGGTCACCCAGCCCAACCCCCCTGCAGGAGCAGGGACACCTTGAACCACATCAGGTTGCTCACAGCCCCGGCCAACCTGGCCTGGAATGGTCCCAGGGATGGGGCCTCCACCCCCTCTCGGGGCAACCCCTGCCAGGGTTTCACCACCCTCACTGGAAAGAATTTCTTCCTTAGATCCAGTCTAAACCTCCCCTGCTTCAGTTTAAAGCCATCCCCCCTTGTCCTGTCCCAGCTGGCCCTACTAAAAAGCTTGTCCCCCCCTTTCCTCTGGGCCCCCTTGAAGCCCTGACCGGCCGCACTCAGCTCTGCCCGCAGCCTTCTCTTCTCCAGGCTGAACACCCCCAACTCTCCCAGCCTGGCCTCAGAGCAGAGGGGCTCCAGCCCTCGCAGCATTTTAGTAGCCAACAACCAAGCATTTAATCTACTGCAACACCCTACAAGCCACACTGCCACCAGCCGCCTGTAAATGCAGTGTTAATGGTTACGCAATGCCGGATCAATTGTTCTGTCTGGATGATCACAATACAGAACCATAAAATAATTACAAAAACCTTAAAGAATGGGGTGAGCATACTAAAGAGCTACAATTCTAAAGATACTTGGTTTACGGTGAAATAATCATAGAATAGTGAAAAACAGAAATAAAGAGTCCAGATGCAATACAAAAAAAAAAAAGCAATTGTAAACAACAACAATCCCCAAATGCAAACAAAAATACCCATTCAACTCTTCTACCACCTGATTTTTGTAATGAAATAAAAGTGAGGATGTGTTGGGAAAGGCGGGGAGAGATGGGACTGTCTTTGCTTTTAATACATTAAGGCACGTGAACGCCAATCAAGACACAACATTCTTTCCAAAGCGTTCTTCCCTCGCTGCCTGCAGAAAGCTCCCTTCAGCAGCCCCACCACTGCGGACTAGAAATGCAAACCCGTGCCCCAAAAATGTAAAACTGGGCCCAAATGAATGCCGAAAGCTGCCAGAGCTGCCGCCCCGGTGGGTAACGCACGGAGCAGCCCTCTCGCCCCCGGCCAGGAGACACACGGCTTTAGCAGGGATCTCAAAGTACCGGTGCGACCACGCTTCCTCCCCGGCTCCTCTTCCTGACAGTAAATGACAGTTTATCAGCTACCAACTGAATTCTCATGGTTAAGCAAGCAATGCGTCAATAATCTCAGAGCTGAAAAATCTAGGAGTAAAAATGCTGATGAGGAACATGGGAATCTCTCCCCGTTCCTTTCCCTTGCTGCCGCTCGCCGCTCAGGGACCGAGTCCCGGTATTTCCATGTCACCTGGTGGCTTCAGCGATGCCAACGGCTGCGCTTTCGCATAAATACAGAAGCTCCCCTACCAGGGCACAAAATTGTTCCTTGAAATTCCACAGTCTGTTTAATGCTCTGGCAAACTACTTACAAACACTTTAAAATCAGCAACACTGTAAGTAGATACTTAAACTGCATTTTCAAAAGGAACGCATCGGATATTACAACATACAAAAGTATTAGCACATATAAGTAACCTAAAGTATTTTATGTTTTTCATGCATAAAAATGTGAGAGAAAGCACTGAAAACATTAACAGCAAAATACTCTCTAAAGGCATACAGATATTCACATTTCAAACTTTTATCTAAGCGAAACAGAGTTCTTAAATTATTTAATATCAACCCTTGGCAGAGAGAGCAAAAAGAAAAGCTACCTCTTTCCTTCTAGTTTTTTATTATGGTACCGCAACACCTTCATTAAAAACTTCATTTTCAGAAAACACCACAAGCTCATTTTAACAGCGGAAGAATTCAGTCTGCAAAGACCGACCCTTCGCTATCGTTGGCGCACACCAACTACGTCCCCTGCAAAACCCCAAACTCACTTATTGTCTGTAAACAATCAATAATT